AACAAATTTCAAAAGACTGAAATCATAGAAAATATTCCCCAGGCCGGGTGCAGATGCTCATGCCTTTATTCCCAGTACTTTGGGAGGCCAAGGCGGGTGGATCACGAGGTCAAGAGATCGACACCATGCTGGCCAACATGGTGAAACCCCATCTCTACCAAAAATACCAAAAAAATTAGCCGGGTGTGGTGGTACATGGCTATAGTTCCAAATACTTGGGAGGCTGAGGCAAGAGAATTGCTTGAAACCGGAAAACAGAAGTTGCAGTGAGCCAGGATTGCGCCACTGCACTCCACCTGGAGATAGTGCAAACGCCTTCTCAAAAAAAAATATATACATATATATATATTCTCCAAGTTAGAAATCAGTAAGAAGATATCTAGAAAAAGGACCAAATATTTACAAATTATATTTTTAACATTTTTTAAAAATCCATGGGTCAAAAAAATTACCAAGGAAAATAAAAAACATTTTGACCTAAACGATAATTAAAATCCAATATGTCAAAATTTGTGAAAAGTGCTAAAGTTGTACTTAGAGAAAAATTTTTATCTTTGAATGCTTATATTAGAAAGGAAAAAAAGGTTCAAAAACAATGATCTAAAGTTTCCATCTAACAATATGAGCAAACTAAATCCACAGTAAGTAGAAAGAGGAAATAACAAAGAACAGAAAACAATGAAATCGAAACAAACACTAAAGAAAATTACACATGACCGAGGTTTATCCCAAAAATGCAACATTGATTTACCATTGGAAATACAATGTAATCTACCACATAACAATTCATAAGTGAGAAACTATATAATTATCTTAATAATTATCAGAAAAAAAAATTGACAAAATGTGTCCCCATTCAGGATAAAAACCCTCAGGAAACCAGAAATGGAAGAGTTTTCTCAATCTGATAAAGGTACTATAAAAAATCAAAGCTAACGTCATACTTAATGGTCAAAGACTGGTCCTAAGATCAGGAACAAAGTTTTTGCTCAGCCTTGAATTGGATGTTCTTATCAGAGCAGTAAGGGGAAAAAATATATATGTTAATGATCAAAAAAAAGACAATTGTTTCTACTTATAGTTAATACATTGCTAACACTGAACATTGTAAGGGAGGAAACTCAACTAGAATAAGTAAGTTTAGCTAGGTCTCAGAAGACAAGGTTAATATACAAAAATTATTTTTACATTCTACAGTGTATTTTTACATACTACCAGCAAACAATTGGAAAACTTTTACCATAATTCCACTAACGATGACATCGAAAAGTAAAAGACCCAGGAATACATTTAACAAACAACATGAAAGATCTGGCTGGGTATACAGCAGCTCAGGCCTGTAAAATCCTGGTACTTTGGGAGGTGGAGGAAGGAGGATCACCTGAGGCCATGAGTTTGAGACCCGCCTAAACTCTCTCTCTAAAAAAAAAATGAAAAATTAGCCAGGTGTGGTGGTGCATATCTGTAGTCCCAGCTACTTGGGAGATTAAGGCAGAAGGATCATCTGAATCCAGGAATTCAAGCCCGCAGTGAGCTATGATTCTGCCACTGCACTCCAGCCTGAGTGACAGAGCAAGACTCTGTTTCAAAACAAAAAAAAAGAGAGAAAAGAAAATGGAAGAAAAAATGCAAGATCTATATATTGCTAAGAGAAATTATGCATCACCTAAATAAATGGAGAAATGTATATTGTGTTCATGGGTTTAAAGACTTGATACTGCTATATGTCAATTTTCCCCAAATGATCTATAGATTAAATGCAATTCCAATCATAAATCCATCAGGCTGTTTTGAAGAAACTGAGAAACTGACTCTAAAATTTATATGGATCTTTGAGCCTCCCCCTGCCAAAAAATAAATAAATTTACATGGAAATCTAAAGGCCTTAAAATAGCCAAAATCATTTTGAAAAGGAAGAGCAAAGCAGGAAGACTTAAAATACCGTCTGACTTCAATATTTATCACAGAAGTACATAATCAAGGCAACTGAATACCTATATGGGGCAAAGGAAAAAAAAGGATCTTGATCCGCTATCGCGCTAAGATGAATCATAACCCTAACAGTGAAGGCTTCCAGAACACAGAATATGTTTATGGCCTAGGGGCAGACAAAGATTTCTTTTTTTTTTTTTTTTTTTTTGAGACGGAGTTTCGCTCTTGTTACCCAGGCTGGAGTGCAATGGCGCGATCTCGGCTCACCGCAACCTCCGCCTCCTGGGTTCAGGCAACTCTCCTGCCTCAGCCTCCTGAGTAGCTGGGATTACAGGCACACGCCACCATGCCCAGTTAATTTTCTGTATTTTTAGTAGAGACAGGGTTTCACCATGTTGACCAGGATGGTCTCGATCTCTTGACCTCGTGATCCACCCGCCTTGGCCTCCCAAAGTGCTGGGATTACAGGCTTGAGCCACCGCGCCCGGCCAAAGATTTCTTAAAAAGAACATCTGTTGGTGAGGATATGCAGCAACCCTAACTCTAATATTTTGTTGATAGGGGTGTAAAATGGTACAATATTTTGGAGAAAGGTTTAGTATATTTTTATAAACATTCACCTACCCTTTGACTCAGTAATTTCACCCCTAGGTAATTATCCAAGAACAATGAAAACAGATATCCACAAAAGTTACTGTATACAAGAATACTGACAGCAGCTTTATTTATACTAACTAAAATCTGGAAGCAACCAAAATATCCATCTTTGAACAAGATAACAGAAAAACAAATTACGATACAGGCATTCACTGGAATACTCAGCAATTGAAAGGAATAAATTACTATCATACACAACATGAATCTCCCAGATACAACGCCAAGCAGATGCCAGATGCAGAGGAGCACATTCCATATAATTCCATTTATATACACTAAGCTCTAGAATTGGCTAAACCAATCTAGTTTTTAAAAACAATTAGGAATCTAGCTGCCTGGTGTGGACAGGAGACTGGCACAGTACAGGAGGGAACGTTCTGGAGACGTGGAAATGTTTATGGGGATGCACATGGATACATTTGTGGCATTTCAATATATGTAAATTTTACCAAAAAACTTTTCAAAAAAACAGTAACTCAAGTAGGAGGTTGGGGAATGGCTGAAAATACATGAAACAAGAATGGCAGAACCTTAAGTGTTAAAGCCAGGTGATGGGTCCATGAAGGTTTATTAAATTATTCTGATTTTGTTTGTACTGGTATAATAAAATGTAAAAACAAAACTTACAGATTTTAGTTGAGAACAAGTTAAAAAGTAAAACTGTTTTGTGGCTTCCAACCACCACCAAAAACAAAAAAGTTACTATAATTTCCTGTAGCATTAAACAGAGATACAGTAATTAGCACGGCTACAGTGAACACCGTAGTTCCTTCCTATACTCCGCCCACGTTAAAGCAAGGAGAATGGTGAGGATGACAGGGTATTTACATACTCTTATGAGGAACTAGGGAAACGTATTAGGGATGAGGCCTTTTTCTCTTATTTTAATCCAAATTAAAAGACAGAAGTGGAGGGTTTTGTGGGAAATTTTTTTAAAAGAATTCAACCAAAACGCAGAGTCATGACAAAAGCTGTAAAAAGCTATAAACTCAGCCGGGCGCAGTGGCTCACAACTGTAATCCCAGCACTTTGAGAGGCCGAGTTGGGTGGACCACGAGGTCAAGAGATCGAGACCATCCCGGCCAACATGGTGAAACCCCATCTCTACTAAAATCACAAAAATTACCCGGGCATGGTGGCACACGTCTGTGGTCCCAGCTACTAGGGAGGCTGAGGCAGGAGAATCGCTTGAACCCGGGAGGCAGAGGTTGCAGTGAGCCAAGATCGCACCACTGCACTCCAGCCTGGCGACAAAGTGAGACTCCGTCTCAAAAAAAAAAAAAAAAAAAAAAAAAAAAAAAAAAAAAAAAAAAAAAAAAAAAAAGCAGCTACACACCCCTAAGTAAATGCTTTGGCTCACGTGGTTATGAAGAGCATGCATGTAATATTTTTGGAAGTTACCATAAAAATGAGTGTCTTTGGATTTCTGGGCTGAACTGAACGTGTGTAGGTGAATCTTTCTTAACAAAGTAGTAATACAAATTATAAAATTAATCACAGTATGCAGCCCTGCCCCAGGTACTCTTCCCTCCTTGTCTCAAAGAATACTGATTATCATGGACCCACCTCTGACCTAAATACAGTGAAGGAATCAAAGTATGAAACACAAACCTTATCCCCCGGAAACTTACGATTTAGCTGCAAAGGCAAGATATGCCTAGAAAACAAGCCATTACCACATAGCAGTACTTGGTTAAGTTCCCGGAGGGAGTACAGATACGATGTACTTTTTAATGAAAAGAACATTCTGCTTTGGTGGTTTCAGCAGGCTGCCTTGAAGTTTGGGAACTTGAATTGAGACGAAGAATTTAGGCAGGGAGAAAAATGGGATGGGAGGCGGGGCGGGCACTTCCAGAACAGAAGAACCGGTAAAGCAAACAAAGTGACGACATAACGTGAAAAGAAGCCTGAATTTTGTCTCCAGTGAACCTCCAACATCCCTCCAACGCCTCTGTCTGGCTCTCTGCTCAAGGTCTTCCCAAAACTTCAGGTCAGCGGTTCCTAAAGTGGCCCCCGCACAAGCATACATCACCAACCAGCTGGGAACGTAATTTGTCAATTCTGGGGACTCGTCCCAGACCTTCTGAGTCATTAAGTGCGGGACTGAGAGCAGCAATCTGTCTTTTAACATGTGCGTCAGGTTGCCGCGCACGCTCAAGTTTGAAAAACACTCATCGAGGGCTACCTGCTAAGCGTAAGCCTCCGCACAAAAGTGGTAAGTTTGAGTGCCTAAGAGCCAACTTGCAGGGTGCAGGGAGCTGAGAGCGGTCCCAGGCCTGTAAGAGTTCAGATTCTGCCCCAATTTCGCGTTCTCATCGAGGACACCTTCTCCCAGTCCCTGTCTCCTCTGCCTGCTCCTTCTGTAGGACTTTCACCTGAGAGGGCCCGCTCCCGCCCCTCTGTCGCCCTACCTCAGTGTCAGAGGGGACGTGGTGCCGGCAGGGAGGGGAACTGCCCAAGGAGACGGGAGTAGATGTGGCGCTTGCCCGCAGCCCGCCCAACAGGAGTAAAACGCTTCGGACCCACAAAGAACCGCTCCAGCGCCACCGGCTCCGGCCGGGGCCTGTACCCCAGTAACCGGCTCCTCCGCCCCACTCGGCCGCCATCTTCGGGCCGAGCGTCGTTACCATGGAGTGCGTGACGCCCCTGCGCCCGCGCCGGCCCCGCCCCTCGCCGCTCGGGGCGGACGGAGGCCCGGCCGGGCGGAAAGGTGCTTTCCAATTGGACAGCGCCACCCGCTGGAAGTTCCAGCAGATGAGGGCAGCGATCGCGTCCACGCGTCACGTTGCGCGAAGCCGGCCAATAAACGCTGTTTGGCGGCCCACGTGAGTTGGGCTGTGGGAGGAAGAAAGGCTAACGGGCGTTGGCGGTATGTGGGTGTCTGAGGCTAACGGGCGTTGGCGGTATGCGGGTGTCTGAGGGAATTTTTGTTCTTTCATTTACCAAAGTGATATGCACCTACTAGGTGCCAGGTGTTTAGACGGACACTTAACCCGCTGCAAAAGCTTTCAGTGTAGTCCTCTGTTTGAAAAGGTGAGTGGAATACTTCCGTTTACTTATCCTGAGTTACCCGTTAGTTAAGTAAGGCCATTTACTATAAGTTTTGCTCAACTCCATCTTTTAATTTCCAACCAAGAATTGCCACTGCACCTGAGATAAGGGGCATCCTGGCCATTAAGGAAACGCTTTCAAAACCGGGCCGTAAGGAACTATATTAAATGGGAAATAGGGACAAATCCCCGTGACTCACGGCACTAAAGTAATACTACAAACACTTGAGCTGTAAGTCATTCTATGGGAATTGAATAGGTAAACTACTATACTGGGAAACGAAGGGGTAAGAAAGAAGGAAAATCTCAAGAGTTACAAACTATGGGTGGAGACTGTAGACTAAGATACGAGGATAGGGTGGTGTTTTAAGTATTAGCATTTTACAAGTAAAGACTCACTAATGTGTCTACCATCCCACGACTAGTGGAAGTTGGGTTTCCAAACCACATTTCTGACTTAGGAAACGTTCTCTTTCCACAATACCACAAATAAATTGCTGTTGTGAATAAAGAATGGAACCAGTCATCTTAAGCTCCTACCTGTAACAATGGTATTATGCTAAAGAAAGGCTTTTTTTTTTGAGACGTAGTTTCACTCGTTACGGAGGCTGGAGTGCAATGACGCTATCTTGGCTCACTGCAACCTCTGCCTCACAGCTTCAAGCGATTCTCCTGCCTCCGCCTCCCAAATAGCCGGGATTTCAGGCGCCCACCACCACGCCCGCCAATTTTTGTACTTTTGGTAGAGATGTGGTTTCACCGCATTGCTCAGGCTAGTCTCCCCTGACCTCAGGTGATCTGCTCGCCTTGACCTCCCAAAGTGTTGGGACTACAGGCGTGAGCCACCGCGCCCGGCCAGGAGGAATGGCTATTTCAATGGCATAGTGGACAAGCTGCCAGCTAGACAAGCCCTTTCCTGTAAACCACGTGACTTACTGTGGCAACACTGCCTTGAGTACCTTTGACTTAATTTCTGTATGGGAGCAGAAAAACACATTATTCACAAATGCTGCACCATCCCAGTCACAAATAGCATACATTTATTTTTGAAGCTCATTTCCCATTGCACATTTAAGTTACTCGAGTTTCCCCAGAGTCTCAACCTTTTGTTTTCCCTGCTTTGCTCAAGCGCCTGCCACTTACTGTGTAAGCACCTCCATTGCTCTCTAGTCCACTCAGAATACCATTCACTTCTCCATATCTAACCCAGACCCGAAATACCCATCTGTCTTCATGGATATGTCCACAGGTAAACATCTTATAGCTTCTTCAAATTCAACTGTGCTCCTCTTCACAAAACCATCTCCTGGTTCCCCAGCTTTGTAAATGCACCATTACCCAGCCAGCTCCCATAGCCAGAAATGTTATAATTCTCAATTTGAGACTGAAAAGCCCACCTCATTTTCCCTTGTTTATGCTAGGCTGCCATTGGGATTTAAAATGTTAATCTGTAACACGGTGGTTTCCTAAGTGGGGAAAAAAGCAAAAAGATAAAATGTTAATCTGAGCTGGACATGATGGCTCACATCTGTCATCCCAGCACTTTGGAACAAGGCAGGGGGATCACATGAGGCCAAATTACAAACCAGCCTGGGCCCTTCCAAAAAATTTTTTTAGCTGGACGTGGGTGGCATGCACATGTAGTCCCAGATTCTCTGGAAGTTGTGGGCACAGGACTGCCTGAGTCCAGGAGTTCAAGGTTGCAGTGAGCTATGATCACACCACTGTACTGCAGACTGGGCAACAGAAACCGTCTGAAATGAATACATTTTTAAATTACAAAACTGGTCTCTCCTGCAAATCAGGTTCTTCAGTGACATTGTACTACGCACAAGAACAATCTTAAGCCTAAGATCCTCAGTACAGTACGAAAGACCTCTTATGTGGCATTTCTTCGTTTTCTGGACTTTCCAGTCAGCCAATCAGGTTGGTTCAAATGCCTTCTGTGTTCCTAAGATCTTCTTGCCATTTCCTGAGGTAATTCTTCCTCTACACTAAAAAGTTTCATTACACAGCCAGTAACCCTGAATACCCTGAGTACTGATCACATCTACTCCCCTGGCACAACGAACACAATAGGTACTTTTAGCTTATGTTGGCCTTTCAGAGTGGGTGTCCAAGATCAGCACTTCCTTCCCCGACCTCATAATTCCCAAGTTCAACTCATTAGCATTTTAATGACCCAATTCCAACTTCTGGCCATGAAAGGCACTGCTCGTGTCTGATGAATACAGCATAAATGCACCGTTTGCCTTAAAACCACAATCTCAATAAATGAGCCTAGCAGGAATGCAAATACAAGCCCATGTCCATGAAGCATAGGACTCCAACAATGGCAACTTTGGCCTGCATACAATCATTGGACTGACCAAACCTTACTTAGAACTGTCAATGTGACAGAGGGACCTTTGGGGGAGGTGGGCTTCTTGCTTTCTCTTGGGTCCATGTATCTCACTACCCTCTTTGTAGATTAGCAGATTTTAACAGGGTGGCTACTGGAGGAAGGGGAAGCAGGAAAGCTGAGACAGTATTGCACTTTCCCTTTCTACAAAATTTTCCCTCAGTCCTGCCTCCAGGAGATGGAGGAGCAAATAACATAGCCAGTGTGCTCTTCCTACCTAATCCCTTTTTTTTAGACGGAGTTTCGCTCTTGTTACCCAGGCTGGAGTGCAATGGCGCGATCTCGGCTCACCGCAACCTCTGCCTCCTGGGTTCAGGCAATTCTCCTGCCTCAGCCTCCTGAGTAGCTGGGATTACAGACGTGCGCCACCATGCCCAGCTAATTTTTTGTATTTTTAGTAGAGACGGGGTTTCACCATGTTGACCAGGATGGTCTCGATCTGTTGACCTCGTGATCCACCCGCCTCAGCCTCCCAAAGTGCTGGGATTACAGGCTTGAGCCACCGCGCCAGGCCCTAATCCTTTTTTTTTTTACCTCTTTTCCCCAACACATTTCCAGCATGTTAATCGTTTTTTAGCATAGACAAGAGAACCCATACACATTTCAAAACTGCAAAAGGGCTTAGCATGGCAAACTCTCAGTTTCTTGTTGACATTTTCAGTGCAATTTACAGATCTGTTAATTTAAAAAACTATCCCTGCAACAGACAACACTAACCTTCAGGAGGGGGAAAAAAGACTGTTACTCCATCAATTAGAAATGTACAACCTGGGAAACACAGTGAGGCCCAGCTTTACAAATAACTAAAAGGTTAATTGGGTGTGGCAGCACACATGCCAGTGGTCCCAGCTATTCAGGAAGCTGTGGCAGGGTTGCCTGAGCCCAGGTTGAGGTTACAATAAGCTTGTCATCGTTCTACTGCACTCCAGCCTGTGAAACAAAACAAGACCTTGTCTCAAAGAAACAAAAAATCTACAACCACATTGCAAAGCCGATGCCTCAGTTGTTTTATTTTAGCACATTCCCAATAAATCTAAAATATCTGGGAGGCCTGTTTACTTCTTTAAAAGTGCAATCTTTACCAGCTTAAAACATGAAGCCAAAGAAAGCTGCCACCTTCCCACGCACTATTCCCAACCTCCATATACCTACCATAGGATTGCTTTTTACAAATGGAGTAATATGGCTTAATTCTCTTCAATACTGGAATACTGTGTCAAGTCCCAACAGCTTCTCATCCCAGTCTATCCAAATCAACTACCAAAGCCCATCAACATAATCTCCATTCAAATTTTTCCAATTCCTACTTAAAAGTTTCCCAACCAATCTGCATTCAACAAATGCACAGTATTACAAAGCACTTAGCAGGGTGTGGTGGCTCACATCTATAATCCCAGCACTTTAGGACAAGGAGGGAGGATTGCTTGAGCCCAGGAGTTTGAGGCCAGCAAGGGCAAGAATCAAACCCTCTCTCAAACAAAAAATTTTAAAATGAGCCAGGCATGGTGGCATGAGCCTATGGTCCCAACTACCTGAAAGGCAAAGATGGACTGCTTGATCCTTTGAATGTGAGGCTGAAGTGAGTGCCACTACACTCAGCATGGGCAACAGAGCAAGGCTCTGTCAAAGATACTCACATTAAAACCCATTACCTTCTAAATCTCTGTACTCGCCCTGTAATTTTCATCACATCTCTCTGATCTCCTTGTACTCCAAAAATACTGGACAACTTCCATCATTTTAAGCATGTAGTAGCAAATCAATTTAACATAGTTAAGTTTTTTAATCCACTTAACAAAAATACAAGAGCAGAAATCCACATTTATTTATTGACTTTTCATTAGTTTAAATCCTTGAGGGGTACAGCATCTGTGAGGAAAAAAAGAACATATAAAACATTAGGTGAATATATGTTTACAAATACTATCAAGAACTGTAATATGGATAAAACTCTGAAAGGCAACCAATTACACGTTCTAGTGGTAAGAACAGTTTTTATATGTACTGGCTGGGCATGGTGGCTCACACCCATAATCCCAGCAGTTTGGGAGGCTGAGACCATCCAAAACCCCATCTCTACTAAAAATACAAAAATTAGCTGGGCATGGTGGCGCATGCCTGTACTCCCAGCTACTCAGGAGACTGAGGCAAGAGAATCGCTTGAACTTGGGGGGCAGAGGTTGCAGTGAGCTGAGACCACACCACTGCACTCCAGCCCGGCGACAGTGAGACTCTGTCTAAAAACATATAGTGAAGATGCATTTAATTTTGCTTCTTCTAAAGACAGAGTAAAACACTCCTCTGTTGATAAACCCTAATGAACCACTTAGCAGAGTTCAACGGTATGTACCCCATGGTCCCAAGAATATAAAGGCTACATGCCAAAACAGACCCTAAAGAAAAAGTAGGAGCTATTTGAGAAAAATTACAGGAGAAAACTGAGAAAGCCTAGCACCAAAGACCTGAGACCTAGAAACATAAGTATCTGTTTTCCTCATATACAAAATAAAGCTGCTAACGCCTATTCTAACAAGACTGACAAGATGGAAATGGCGAAGTATTAACAATTACGTCAGGAGTTAACTGTTAAATTTTTGCCTTCTAGCAATTACTTCAGTGCCCCAAAAATATCTTCACCAGTAAACTATTCAAACCATTCAAGGCTGTCTATGGTGGTTCAAGAATGTAATAATCCCAACACTCTGGGACGCCGAGGTGGGCAGATCATTTGAGCCCAGGAGTGAGTTCAAGTTCAAGACCAGCCGAGGCAACATGGAGAAACCCTGTCATTGCAAAAAACACAAAAAATTATCTGGGCATGATGGTGCAGGCCTGCAGTTCCAGCTACTCGGGAGACTGAGGCATGAGTATCACTTCAACTCGGAGGCAAAGGTAGCGGCAAGCCAAGATCACGCCGCTGCACTCCGGTCCAGGTGACAGAGACCATGTCTCAAACCCTACCCCCACCACACCGCCAATAAAATTAGATGGGTGTGGTGGCACATGCCTATGGTCCCAGCTACTTGGGGAACTGAGATGAGAGGACTGCTTGAGCCCAGGAGGTAGAAGCTGCAGTGAGCTGTGATCATGCCACTGCACCCCAGGCCCCAGGCTGGGTGACAAAGTGAAACCCTGTCTCAAAAAAAAAAAAAAAAACAAATACCTATTCTTTCAATTATTGTTTATCTCCACTGCTCTACAATACACAAATTTTGCAGCATAATTTACTGGTATCAGTGTCAAAGTCAGAGTCTATAGAAGTCAAAACCCAACACCTTGAACTTAGTCTGACTCGTCAGAGGTCCTTTTTGCTAAAAATTGTACTCACCACTCGGATTCTGTGTCCAATGGCCTTAGCAGGAAGGTTGCTTCGGAACTTGGCACGAACCATGCCGCTGTTTCCATGAGCCCGAGTTACCTTTCCCCAGATCACTCTGGTTTTGTTTGGTTTGCCACCAGGAGTCACTGTGTTGCTGATTTTATAAAGGAAAAGAAGAGGAATACAGACCAATATAGTCAGATACAAATTCAAGGTGACCTCTAGATGAGTGGTTCTCAACCCACTGAATCACCTGAGAACCTTTAAATGCCTGGAACACCATTCATTCGACAGATATTTATCGAGTACCTATTGTATGCCGGGCACTTCTCTAAAATACAGCAGCTATAAAACAAAAATCTCTTTCACACGATAAGTAAGTATAAGAAAAATACATAGGTGGTCAGATAACAGATGAAACATTGAGAAAAATAGCAAAAAAGGACAGATATGAGGACGTTTGTGTGTACTGCAATTTTAAATAGCCAAGGAAGGTCTGACTGAGGTGACAATGGAACAAAGACTGGAAAAGGAGGATGCCATGAAGTTATCAGGGGACTAGTGCAGGCATTGGAGGAAGACCCAAGGAGGGTGTGCACTGGGTCTTATGGGGTCTTAACGACCAGCTTTTAGTGAATGAGACAAACCACTGAGGTTTCAGCAATGCACAAAGGATGTGACTTTATATATATTTCCTTTAATTAGACAACAGTTGTCTTTCACCCAGCCTGCAGTGCAGTAACCCAATCATCGGTCACTGCAGACTCCATCTCATGACATCAAGCAATCCTCCCACCTATGCCTCCCAAACACTGGGATTACAGGTGTGAGCTACTGCACCTGGCCCCCGACTTAAATTTTAAGCCACTGACTTAAAATGTTAAAGGAACACTTTGCCTGCAGATGAAAAGGTGGGGCAATGATGAAAACACTTTCCCAGAGATTTTAATTGGCCTGGAATGGGTTAAGAAAATAGGATTGGCTGAGCACTGTGGTTCAGGCCTGTAATCCCAGCACTTGGGAGGCCAAGGCGGGCAGATTACAGGGTCAGGGGTTCTAGAGCAGCCTAGCCAACATGACACAACCCCATCTCTATTAAAAAGACAGAAGTTAGCCTGGCATGGTAGCACACGCCTGTAATCCCAGCTACTGGGGAGGCTTAGGTCACAGTGAGCCAAGATCACTCCAGTCTGGGTGACAGAGCAAGATGTCCTCTCAACAAAAAGAACTAATGTCTACAGTATCAATACCTTTAGGCATGCATAAAAGCCGCAATTTGGGCCTGGTGCACTGACTCACACCCGTAATCCCAGCACTTTGGGAGGCAGAGCCGGGTGGCTCACTTGAGGTCAGGAGTTCAAGACCAGCCTGACCAACACTGTGAAACCCTGTTTCTACTAAAAATACAGAGTTAACCCCAACTACTTGGGAGGCTGAGGCAGGAAAATCGCTTGAACCTGGGAGGTGGAGATTGCAGTGCATTGAGATTGTGCCACTGCACTCCAGCATGGACAAGAGTGAAACTATGTCTCAAAAAAAAGAAAAGAAAAAAAAAATCTTAATTTTAAGGCATCAACAAAATGCATTACACACGAAAAGCGTTCTAAACCACCTTAAATTCTGGCCAAAGGAGCTGAGAAGAAAATTAAAAACCTTTAAATGATCACAATGTAATAAGAAATTCGCTCCTTTATTAAGTGCCAAAAGTTCCTAAATCCAACACCGCCCTCAAAAAGTAATGTCCTTCTAAAACTCCCCATTAAGTTCAATGACGCAAAATAGGCACCACAGCAACACCAATCCAGCCTGGCCAACATGGGAAAACCTAGTCTCTAATAAAAAATACAAAAATTAGCAGGGTGTGGTAGTGAACCCCTTGAAGCCCAGCTACTCAGAAGGCTGAGGCTGGAGAACTGCTTGACACTTGACTCAGGAGGCGGAGGTTGCCATGGGACAAGATCGCGCCACCTCACTTCGACCTGGGCAACAGAGCAAGTCTCTTGTCAAAAACAAAAAAACCAATACCAAATACTTCAGCCACCTCTTTTGTTTATTCTTCCAATAGGAAAATGAAGCCAGGCGCAGTGGCTCACGCCTGTAATCCTAGCACTTTAATAAGAGGCCAAGGCGGGTGTATCACCTGAGGTCAGGAGTTTGAGAGCAGCCTCGCCAACAAGACAACCAACCCCCTCACGCCCCCACCCCCAACTAAAAATACAAAAACTAGCTGGGCGGGTGCCTGCAATCTCAGCTACAAGGGAAGCTGAGGCAAAACTGCTTGAATCGGAGGCGAAGGTTGCAGTGAGGGAGATAGCTCACTGGACTCCAGCCTGGGCAACAGAGCAAGAGTCCATTATTTAAAAAAAAGAAAAAGAGACAGATCTCAAATTAAAACCCAATAAACTTACTTCTTTGCTTTGTATACATAAGCACATCTCTTGCCCAAATAGAATTCTGTTTCATCTCGGGCATAAACACCTTCGATTTTAAGAAGAGCTGTGTGCTCCCTTTGGTTCCGGAGACCCCGCTTATAGCCGGCAAAAATAGCCTTGGACCACAGCCTAAGAAACAAAAGATACACAACATGAAACGCAATCTTCAACGAACCAGTTAGACCTGTAATAACCCCCACCCAAAAGTTACCTAGAGCGAACATCTAATTTTTTTCTTACCAATTTTAAGCTCTCATTTACGTTCACGTGTAACACACAAAAACAAACAGCAACTATATTTAAAACGCGTACCTTCCAGACATAGCTCCTTCTGTAAGTCCTGTTCCCAGCAGGCCTTAAAACAAAAGATTCTGTTTAAAGCAAGCCACACAAATGTCCCGCCCCGTCCCCTCTCATTTAAGCCTCTAAGGCAAATTCCTTTTGAATCGGAATTTCACGTAAGAGTGCGGGGAAAATATTACGCCAGAACATCCGTATGAAACGCGGGGTCCGGCTAGACATTCGAACCTCAGAGAAGTTAGTATCTAAGCAAACTTAAGAATGAGACAAAACTAAGGGACAAGAGGCACTAAAATAACTCTTAGAAAAGCCTGGGAACACTCGGGAAAAGAAATGGAGACTTAAGCAGAGAAACACATCTAAGACCTTTACACTTGGCGGGGGAGAAAAGCTGAGGAAGAGACTGTTAGCAAAGGGAGGAAACAAAAACCCTATCCTAAAGGAAGCACGGCCCCATGGACAACTGCAGACGAACAAAAATATCCATTTCACTCCGCTCGGGTCCAAGAATTTAACTTAGATAACCGGGCAGCCGTTCTCCGGGTGTGAGGGGACCAAGCACAATCAGTCCAGCATCTCCTGCATCCTGTTGTCTCTCTTCTTGAAACCCATAGAAATCAATGGCTGGCAGTGATTCCGATACGCACCGGCAACTCGCTAGGGTAGACGAACAAACTCACTCCAGTCATTTACCTCCAAATTTCAGCAGCAGGCGCTTCTCTAGCCTCCACAAGTGCCAAGATGGCGGGAAGAGAAATACGAGGCCCCGCCGCGCGGCCTTGTGGGATTAAGCACCTCTCCAACGCGCCCTCAATTTAGGCATCTTCTAAAAACGCCAGAACAGCAGCCCTCGGAAATCGTCTTCGGACTGAAATAAGTCACATTCAAGAGCACTCTTAGAATTATTTTACTTAATCCTTTCATTTTGGTAGGCTGCAAGGTAAGCCTATTAGTTGGTAACAGGGGAAGGCAAAATAGTAGCCAGCTAAATCCGCCGAAGCTGTGCGTTGCCATAGAAACAACTTAGCTTGCTCCTTGCGTCCCCGGATGCTGTCGGTGGAAAGGTGAGGCTGCCTGAGGAGAGGACGGTCCCACTGCCTAAAGGCTGATTGACTGTAAGATTGATTTGCGAACAAATCGAGGGTGCTTTTCCTTGGATTCATACAGCAATAGACAGAACGGAGACTCTAACCTAGCATGGAAGAGAAAGGCTGGGAGCAGGAAGGCAGCAGGAGCTCTTCCCTTTTTCTTTTTCTATACTTCTTTTCTCCCCTCTACTTAGTTATCTCTTCAAGAAATGAGTCTGGGCACTGTGGCTTACGCCTGTAAACCCAGCTCTTTGGGAAGCCGAGGCGAGAGGATCGCTTGAGGCCAGGAGTTCGAGACCAGCCTGGGCAGCATAGTGAGACCATCTCCCCCGCCCTCCCCTATCTCTACAAAAGAAAAAAAAAGAATTAAAAAAAGAATGAAAGGACTTAAATTCTTACCTCCATTCTTCTTTTTGGATCCAAGGTATAAGGAGGACTGCCTAGAGGAGGCTTTATCGCCTTTTTAGACTTATTTTAGCTACCTCGTGTCCGCACCTGATAGGTCCTCAGTAGATACTTGTAGAGGTGTATTCGTGGACGCCAGAGATTTACATTTCCGAATTATTACGCATTTATTTGGGTTACCCTATGGATTCATTAATTTATTTAACAAATAGTTTAATGAATGGCTACCCTATACCAAGGTTTGTGTAGGATGACCACATGGCAGTAAACAAATCTCTTCCCTCATGGAGCTTACATCCTACGAGGGGGAGCAAGACAGTGAACAAGGAAAATAGGTGGCACATTAGAAGAAGGTAGCTTCTGTGGAGAAAATTAAGCAGAGAGGCCAGTGTAAAAGGCTTTCCGCCCCTTACTTTGAGATGGGAAGTATTTAAGGGTTCTGAACAGAAGAGTGACTCGATCTGACTTCCATATTGAGAAAGTCACTGCGTTGGGACTGAAGGGAGGCAAGGGCACCAGCAGGAAGAGAATTATAGGTTACTGTAGTGAATGTGATGAGAGATGATGGTGTGGAAACACACGTGATGAGTACTGGAATTCTGATTATATTTAAATTCTGGCAGGATTTGCTGGTGGATGAGGAATGAGAGAGAGGAGTAAAGGATGGCTCCAAAGTTGCATGAAATAGATGTTTGTAAGTCACTGTTAAAATCAGATCCTGTCTTAAATATATCAGGATAGAACTCGTACCCTGTAGCCCACTGCCACACCCAATGTTCTCTGTCCCAGAAAGAAATGTGCTAGAAATTTCACTATCAGATATTAATTTGTCAAAGTTCTAAATGTAAATCCTCCTGGGAGGAATACACATTAAATGTGAGTTTCATTTGTTTGCTCACATAGTATTCATTCCAGAAATACTTGAGTGCAGTGCCTGAAACTTAGTGCCTGATACAACCGTGAGCATCATTGTCATGGTTCCTGCTTGCATGGAACAGTTGTCCAGTGGGTAGAAACTGACATAAACATAACAAATTGTGAACAGAGCTCTGTGGGAAAATAGTGCCATGAATGCCCTGACCTAGCCTGATGAGTTAGGAAAAAGATCACTTGGAGAAGTGTCATTTAAGGCATTTTTCAAACTGCAGGTGATGATCCATTAGTAAAGCATGATTATAATACTTTTTAAAACAAAGTATGTTAGAATAAAAAATATCAGAATGTTATCACATATGGAAAGCATAAGTTGTTTTTATCAAACATTTGTTTCAGTTATTTGTATGTGTGTGTGTATATATATATATATATATACAACGATCTAGTATACATACATTTTACATGTATGTATGTATACAATTATCTAATATACACATAGAATGTATATATACATTCTATGTGTATATTGTTTGCTCACATAGTATTCATTCCAGAAATACTTGAGTGCAGTGCCTGAAACTTAGTGCCTGAAACTTAGATCATTGTATCATTAAGTGTGGCCCTGAAAGGAAACAGTTTTCAGTTTAAAACTTAATAAAGGATCTGTTTACAAAGATGAAGCAAGAGTAAAGGCCAAGCATGCTGGCTCATGCCTGTAATCCTAGCACTTTGGGAGGCTAAGGTGGGTGTATCATTTGAGGTCGGGAGTTCAAGACCAGGTTGGTCAACATAGTGAAACCCTGTCTCTACTAAAAATACAAAATTAGGCAGGTGTGTGCCTATGGTCCCAGCTACTTAGAAGGCTGAGGTATGAGAATTGCTTGAACCTGGGAGGCAGAGGTTTCAGTGAGCCAAGATCGTGACACTGCACTCCAGCCTGCATGACAGAGTGAGACTGTCTCACACACACACAAAAAAGGTAAAGCAGGAGTGAAACTACAAGGGATGATGGAGTCTCCCCAGACGTAGGAGAGAAATAGTTACCCAAGCCCAGAGAGAGAGAAGTTTGGAGAGAATTACCTGACAGGAGCCGTGTCCTTTGATAGAGGAACATAACCAACCAATGATATTCTGGCAGAGAAAGAACTGGGAGAATAAACGCCTGATCTCTCTTCCCTACACTGAATCTCTTTCTGGAATCTCCCATGGATATACTCCATATGGGTCAGTCTCCCAGAGCACAGAAAATGTTAGAGATTTCACCTAGGAATATGACACAGTTTTAAGCTGGTGATGGGTCAGGGCGACTTTACGAGGTCAAGAGGTGAGGAAAGAGGGGCTTAACTGGAAGGAATAGCATGTGCAAAGACCCTGAGTTGTAAGTGAGCATGAGTCCATAGAACTGAAAGAAGCCCATTGAGGCTGGAGCCCAGACAGCAAGGAAAGGGCAGTTACAGTTAGGTCTAGAGAGGAACAGAAGGGCCCAGATCATACAGACCTTGTAGACCAAGTTAAGAATTTTGCTCTTTGTCCTAAGGCAACGGGAAACTATTGAAGGGTTTTAAAGAGGGACATAATCAGATTTTCAATTTTAAAAGATCACTTCCTGCACCTTCCGACAGGACATCTGAAAAAAAATTTTTTAATTAAAAGACCGTTTCCAATTTGGAGGTTGTTGGAGTAGTTTCAGCAAAAAAAGGGGGTGGGGGGGAAGCCAAAACACAGCAACAACTAGGTCCAACTTGGGGGATATGGAAAGAGAAGGTAAAATCCGGCCAGGCGCAGTGGCTCACGCCTGTAATCCCAGCACTTTGGGAGACGAAGGCGGGCGGATCACCTGAGATCAGGAGTTCCAGACCAGCCTGGCCAACATGATGAAACCCCGTCTCTACTAAAAATACAAAAATAAGCTGGATGTGGTGGCGGGCACCTGTAATTCCAGTTACTTAGGAGGCTGAGGCAAGAGAATTGATTGAACCCAGAAGGTGGAGGTTGCAATGAGCCAAGATCGCACCACTGCACTCCAGCCCATGCAACAGTATGAGACTCCATCTCAAAAACAATAAAAAATAAATAAAAATCATGATACAATAAAACATACTAAAACCATGTTAAACATTAATTTACCTGAGGAAGAGACTCAAAGAGTGCATGTATCTTCAGTTTTTTGGTAGACCAGTAATAATTAAGTTGACAACTTTTTTTTGTTGTTTGTTTTTTGAGACAGAGTTTCACTCATTGCCCAGGCTGGAGTGCAATGGTATGATCTCGGGTCACCACAGCCTCCACTTCCCAGATTCAAGCGATTCTCCTGCCTCAGCCTCCTGAGTCGCTGAGATTACAGGCATGCACCACCATGCCTAATTTTATATTTTTAGTAGAGATGGGGTTTGTCCATGTTGGCCAAGATAGTTTCAAACTCCTGACCTCAGGCGACCTGCCCGCCTCAGCCTCCCAAAGGGCTGGGATTACCCATGCCTGGCCTAAGTTGACCACTTAATAGACCTGCACTCCATCATGTCAGGGTTCCTTCACTTCTGGGACTGCTCTACTCCACAAAAAGAGGTAATAGTCACAGCTCTTGTAATTCTTTAACTTTCTCTTAATGAAATGGTATAGAAATAACTGAAAGATCATTCAAGACTCCCATAAACTAATCTCAGTGTTTCCTTCCCATTTTAGGTAACTGCATTTTTGTGAAATTATAAATATACCACCAAGGGTAACGAAACTAACTCAAGAAGAATGGAAGAGTATGTTTAAAATTCCAATGTATTTTGTATACATATATTTAAATTATGCCTTCTGTTAAATTTCTGTGTATAACTTATCTATTGCTGTGTAACACATTACCCCAAAACTTAGTGACTTAAAATATAAACATTTATTCTTTCTCAGAGTTTCTGTGGGTCCTGAGCTTAGGAGCAGGTTGGTTGGCTGGTGCTGGCTTGGGGTCTCTCCTGAGCTTGAGGTTGGCCACGGGTGGCAGTGATCTGAAGATCTGACAGGGGCTGGAGTATCCACTAGAACTGGCAAGTTGGTGCAGGCTACCAGCAAGAGGTCTTAGTCCCTTACCCTTGACGATGGGTTCACAGTGCTGCTGAAGTGTCCTCATGCCAACGCAGCCGTCTTCCCTCATGGTGAGAGATTTGAGAGAGTAAGGCAGAAGCTGTCTTTTATCATCTAGCTTTGGAAGTCACACTCTGTCATTCCCACAATAACCTTCTGGTTACATAGGCTAGTCCTGTTCAGTTGGGGTAGACTACACAGAGGCATTAATACTAGAAAGTGAGAATCATTTGGGCCACCTTGGAGACTAGATACCACATTCTGTTTTTCACTCATCATGAGACACTTTTGGTTAGCATCTAAAGATACTCTTAGGAAAAAACGTTAATTCTGGCTCAAATTCAAATTGATCAGCATAGCCAAACTGCATGAGCTACATATCTTTATTAAACAGTGAGTTGTTTGCCTTTGGTTGGTCAAAATGGAAGATATTTAGTGGAATCACATGCAAATTCCTCCTTTTGTTTTTTTAATCTGGGTTATTATTGTAATTATTTAATTTTCCCTTAATAAAATGGTATAGAAATAACTGAAACGTCATTCAAGACTCCCATACACTAATCTCAGTGTTATATTATATGACCACATGAGTATCACAGGAGCCCAGCACATTGCTGCCTGTGCTTTTGAGTTAAAGTAATGTTTAAATATGGGTTGCTGGGCCGGGCGCGGTGGCTCAAGCCTGTAATCCCAGCACTTTGGGAGGCTGAGGCGGGTGGATCACGAGGTCAACAGATCGAGACCATCCTGGTCAACATGGTGAAACCCCGTCTCTACTAAAAATTACAAAAAATTAGCTGGGCACGGTGGTGCGTGCCTGTAATCCCAGCTACTCAGGAGGCTGAGGCAGGAGAATTGCCTGAACCCAGGGGGCGGAGGTTGCGGTGAGCCGAGATTGCGCCATTGCACTCCAGCCTGGGTAACAAGAGTGAAACTCCGTCTCAAAAAAAAAAAAAAAAAAAAAAAAAAAAAAAAAATATGGGTTGCTGACTTATTTTTTCTTTATTCTTTTCTTAGAGACAGCCTGGGAGACTCAAACCTTTTTCCAGAAGTTTGGCATTCTGAGATGACAGTGTCAGTGACAGGCGAACCACCTAGTACCGTAGAAGAAGAAGGACTACCTAAAGAAACAGGTGTAGAAATCATCCCAGAAATCCTTGAAATCCTACAGCCACTCTCCCTTCCAGATGTGCTGAGGGTCTCTGCAGTCCTGGAGGATGCCATAGACCAGCTCTCTATTTTAAAGTACATCATGCTGATTCAGTACGAGGGAAGACAGAGCATCAGCATGGTACATACTCGCTCACCGTTAGTTAATTTTGCTTTATTTATTTTTTATTTCTCCATCATTTATAGTACCTATCCCATTATGTTTATGTTCTTTCTTTCTTCCTTGTTTTCTTTTTTGGGGGGATGGGGGCAGAGTCTCATTCTGTCACCTAGGCTGGAGTGTAGTGCTGTTTCTAGTACTCAGTAAATCAGGACATGTGACACATTTGCTTCCCTTTCCAGCGTCCAAGTATAAAGGCAGAGGAATAGTGTTAGGGAACTCAGAAAATGGGGCCTCCCAGAGATTGCAGTGAGCCAAGATAGCGCCATTGCACTCCAGCCTCGGTGACAGAGTGAGACTTTGTCTCAAAAAAAAAAAATTATTTATTTAAATAAAAGAGACAATGAGGCCCCCTAGAGCTTACATTTTCTGCTTATTCCCTTATACAAAATATAAGATGATAACTACTTATTTTACCAGTGGGAAAATGGGGACACAGAGATGTCAGATAGTTGCCCAAGGTCAGTACAGTTTAGAGACAGAGCCGGATGCAAAGATGGCTTCAGAATCCATATGTGTCTTCCGTAAATCACATGGCTTCAGAATCCATGTGTGTCGTCCCTAAGTCACATGGCTTCAGAATCCATGTGTGTCGTCCCTAAGTCACATGGCTTCAGAATCCATGTGTGTCTTCCGTAAATCACATGGCTTCAGAATCCATGTGTGTCGTCCCTAAGTCACATGGCCCCTCAGTGGCTCAACTTTTAGCCAGTTTAGTCTACATAGGCATCGTCAACTAAAAGGCATGTGCTGTTCCTGTGTTCTTTAACATTCAAGTTTGGGTCTGAAAAAGAAATTATTCTGGCTTTTCCCTCCGTGATCATCAAAATCTACATCATACTGCCAAATCTACTATCAGCCTCTGCTTTCAGTATGATTCTCCTTTTTTATTTATATTTCAAATTCCTATGTTCAATGAACATTTGAGTCTCTGCTATATGCTAGTCATTGTTCTAAGCAATGGTACTATAAAGATGGCCACATCCAATCTTGTTCCAAAAATAACTTTAGTCTTCAAAAAAAGTTTTTTTTGAAGTGACCCAAGATCACTAAGACAATGTCCCTTCCCTCCTAGAAACCACAATCTGATGGAGATACTTTATAAAAAATTACGGTATGATAAATGCCTGCTAACAGAGATATTTCACAAAGAACTTTACTTTTTTTTTTGAGACGGAGTTTCGCTCTTGTTACCCAGGCTGGAGTGCAATGGCGCCATCTCGGCTCACCTCAACCTCCGCCTCCTGGGATCAGGCAATTCTCCTGCCTCAGCCTCCCAAGTAGCTGGGATTACAGGCACGCGCCACCATGCCCAGCTAAGTTTTTGTATTTTTAGTAGAGACGGGGTTTCACCATGTTGACCAGGATGGTCTCCATCTCTTGACCTCGTGATGCACCCACCTCAACCTCCCAAAGTGCTGGGATTACAGGCTTGAGCCACCGCGCCCGGCCAGAACTTTACTTTTGATCAATTAACCAGGCGGTAAGTTGGGGAATGAGAGAGAAAGGGAATGCTGTGTGAAGTTAGCAGCAGGATATGGTTTGGTGTGGCTGAAGAAAACGGCACATTTTCTTGGAGTGTAGAGAATAAGTCAGAAACAATAATGTTGAAAATGTAGCCGGGCACGGTGGCTCATGCCTGTAATCCCAGCACTTTGGGAGGCTGAGGCGGGTGGATCACTAGGTCAAGAGATCGAGACCATCCTGGTCAACATGGTGAAACCCCGTCTCTACTGAAAATACAAAAAAAAATTAGCTGGGCATGGTGGCGCGTGCCTGTAATCCCAGCTACTCAGGAAGCTGAGGCAGGAGAATTGCCTGAACCCAGGAGGTGGAGGTTGCGGTGAGCCGAGATCGCGCCATTGCACTCCAGCCTGGGTAACAAGAGTGAGACTCCGTCTAAAAAAAAAAAAAAAGAGATTGAGACCAGCCTGGCCAACACAGTGAAACGCCATCTCTACTAAAGATAAAAAAATTAGCTGGGCATGGTGGCACATGCCTATAATCCCAGCTACTCCAGGGGTTAAGGCAGGAGAATTGTTTGAACCCAGGAGGTGGAAGTTGCAGTGAGCTGAGATTGCGCCATTGCACTCCAGCCTGGGTGACAGACAAGGCTCCATCTCAAAAAAAAAAAAAAAAAGAGAGAAAAAAAATGTAGACAAAAGCCTCTTTCTTGTAGTATTATCTCTTTAAAAAAAAAAAAAAAAAACTTTCTAATTTTTTTATTGTTTTGAAAAGAAAAGTGGAGAAATGAATCTAGAAGGAAAGAATCTACACAAACTTCCAATGGCCTCAACAATCACAAAAATACCTCATCCATTAATACCCAAAGAAGAACCCGATTTGCCAGAAATCGGACAAAGAGGCCAATTTCCTGTGGAGTTTAACAAAATGCAGGATCTTATCTTCAAAAATCCTACAAGGCAGACCATAATGACTGCGGAGACACTGAAGAAAATTCAGCTCGATAGGTAAGGAAGGGACACGTTTTGCAATGGAATCGTGTATTTACACGTAGATGGGAGAATGGGTGCCTGGGTGGCTGGCTGCTCTCTTCTGTGGGTTAATCATTACTGTGTATGCAGATTGACTGCTGAGAATAGGGTTAGCTAATCAGCGGCCGGGTGACCCGAATGGAAAGCAAGGTGGCTATATGATATTGCACAAGTTACTAAGGCTTTTTTGTGTTCAGACCCAGTTTTACTCTTGCGGCCCAGTCTGGAGTGCAATGGTGCGATCTCGGGCACTGCAGCCTCTACCTCCTGAGTTCAAACGACTCTCCTGCCTCAGCCTCCTGAACAGCTGGGATTACAGGTGTATACCACCATGCCTGGCTAATTTTTGTATTTTTGGTAGAGACGGTTTCACCATGGTGGCCAAGCTGGTCTCAAACTCCTGACCTCAGGTGATCCACCTGCCTCAGCCTCCCAAAGTGTTGGGATTACAGGCGTGAGCCACCGTACAAGTTATTATGTCTTTGTTTCCAATTTTTATTTTATTTATTTTTAAAATTCTTTTTTTTCCTTCAGACATATGCCTGCATACTGCTTATTTCTTAGAGACTAGGTCACTATGTTGCCCAGGCTGGAGGGCAGTAACTATTCACAGGAGATGTCAGAGCACTGCCATCCTCAGGCTTCTGGCTTCGAGTGATCTTCTCGCATAGCTGGAACTACGGGCACACTGGCTGTTTTTAATCACTGAAAATGAGAATGGGCCAGGCACAGTGGCTCACACCTGTAATCCCAGCACTTTGGGAGGCCAAGGTGGGCAGATCATGAGGTCAGCAGTTTGAGACCAGCCTGGCCAACAAGGTGAAACGCCATCTCTACTAAAAACACAAAAATTACCTGGGCATGGTGGCGTGCACCTGTATTCACAGCTACTCAGGAGGCTAAGGCAGGAGAATTGCTTGAACCTGGGAAGTGGAGGTTTCAGTGAGCTGAGATCACGCCACTGCACTCCAGCCTGGGCAACAGAGCAAGAATCTGTCTTGAAAAAAAAAATGACAATAATAGCAGCCTTGCAACAGTAGTGTAAGAGTTAGAAATAAGGCTCTAGCTGAGTACCTGGCACATATTGGTAGCTATTGTGATGCTTTATTCATTAATAGGAAATAGCTGCTGGATAGCCAAATTTTAACTGTGTTTTAACCCTGAGGGTTTCTTAAATCCCCATTGCCTCATAATTTTTTGTTGTCAGCTGATTCGATGACAAACCTGTTAAGTTTAAGAGGCTGTAACATTATGCCAAGAACTTTTGGTAAATGAGTTTACTGCAGTTCACCCAGTGCCACGAGCTAAATCCAGCATGAAATCTGTTTTTGAAGATTTACTGGATTACAGTATTGCCCATTTGTTTATACGTTGTCTGTGACTGCTTTCATGCCACAATGCAGAGTTGAGTCATTGCCTAAGAGAACTTATGGGAGGCAAAGCCGAATATTTACTATTTGTCCCTTTACAGAAAAAGTTTGCTGACCTTGGTATTAGACCCTAACCAAGGGTAAGATCCGCTGCTCAAGTCAGTCTGGCCCAGATTTGCATCTGACAGAAGGGTGTCCTGCTTATACATTGCCCAGTGCAGTTAACGTCCTTTCCATTCTCAGTGTGTGACTCATATCTTTTCTTGAAAGACCCAAAATACCAGTCTCAGATTATTTGTAGGGGATTAGTTTTAGGTTTATATTCCATATGAAACCCAGCGTGGCCGAGTGCAGTGGCTGACACCTGTAATCCCAGCACTTTGGGAGGCCAAGGCAGGCGGATCACAGGATCAGGAGATCGAGACCATCCTGGCCAACATGGTGAAACCCCGTCTCTACTAAAAATACAAAAAAAGTAGCTGGGCGCAGTGGTGCACGCCTGTAGTCCCAGCTACTTGGGAGGCTGAGGCAGTGAACCAAGGAGGCGGAGATTTCAGTGAGCCAAGATCACTTCACTGCAATACAGCCTGGGTGACAGTGTGAGACTCCGTCTCAAAAAAAAAAACCCAGGGTATACTCATGAAATGTACATCTTCCACAGTTATCCAGAATCAAAGTGGAAATCACAATATTAAAGACATAAAAATGACAATAGATTGGAGGTGGTGGCTCACACCTGAGATTCTACCACTTTGGGAGGCCAAGGTGGAAGAATTGCTTGAGCCCAGAAGTTTGAAACCAGCCTGGGCAACAGTGAAATCTCATCTCTACTAAAAATAAAAAAAATTATCTGGGCATGATGGTGCGTGCCTATGGTCTCAGCTACTCTGGAGGCTGAGATGTGAGAATCACCTGAGCCTGGAAAGTGAGACTCTATCTCTAAATAAATAAATACATTAATTAATAATTTTTAAAAATCACAAAGTTCCCTTTCATTTATTTTTTTCCTTCTTTGCAGACAGAGTCTTACTCTGTCGCCCATCCTAGAGTGTAGTGGTGCCTCCTCATGAGGTCAGGAGTTCAAGATCAGCCCAGCCAACATGGTGAAACCCTGACTCTACTAAAAATACAAAAATTAGCCAGGTGTGGTGGTGTGTGCCTGTAATCTCAGCTACTCAAGAGACTGAGGCAGGAGAATCGCTTGAACCTGGAAGGCAGCAGTTGCAGTGAGCCAAGATCACACCACTGCACTCCAGCCTGGGCAACACAGCGACACTCCATCTCAAAAATCATAATGAAATTGGAATTATCCCAGGAAGACAAAAATAGTTTAGCTTTGGAAAATGTAAAAAAAAAAAAGAAGAAATAAAAAGAAAGATCAAGCGATGCAGAAAAGGCATTTGGCAAAATTCCACATACATTCATCATTTAAAAACCAACAGCAAAAACCTCTTAGCACCACCATAAACCTGGCTAATAGAGTGAGTCTCTGTCTCAAAAAAAAAAGTGAAACTACATGTATTATTTAAATAAAATGCACAAACACATAATGAAAGTATCACAACATGCCAGAGAATAATCATCACCGGATTCAGAAGAGTGGTTGTCTTTGGGGAAGGTTGAGGGACTGGGATTAGAGACTTCAAATATATTTGACATATGTCTGAAAAACCAAGTCTCTACCATGGTAAAATATTTAAATTTTGTGTTATATGCAGAAATATTCATTATACTTTCTAAATTTTTGAAATACTTCATAATTTTGAAAAAAGTTAAATCATTTAAAAAAAATTTTTTAAAGACCTAATCAAACTTTTTTTTTTCTTTTTTTGAGACAGAGTCTTGCTCTGTTGCCCAGGCTGGATTGCAGTGGTGCAATCTCAGCTCACTGCAACCTCCGCCTCCTAGAGTCAAGCACTTCTCCCGCCTCAGCCTGCTGAGCAGCTGGGATTCCAGGCACGCACTACTGCACCTGGCTAATTTTTGTATTTCCCCGTGGAAATACAAAATACAAGCTGGTTTCAAACGTCTAACCTCAAGTGATCTGTCTGCCTTGGCCTCCCAAGTGCTGATATTACAGGCATGAGCCACCACGCCTGGCCTGGGTCTTAACTTGTGTGACGTCTGTAGCCCTTTGTGAATATAGGGAAATATATATACATATACATACATATTTTGTTTGTTTTGAAACCAGGTCTTGCTATGTTGTCCCAGCTGATCTCAAACTCCTGGGCTCAAGCAGTTCTTCCACCTCCGCCTCCCAAGTAGCTGGGATTAAGGCACATGCCGCTGCACCTGGCTTGAAAATTTAATGTATTAACTCATCTTTTTTTTGTTTTGTTTCTCCTCTCAGGCAGTTTTTCAGTGATGTGATTGCAGATACCATTAAGGAGTTGGAAGATTCGGGCACTTTCAACAATCTCCTGCAAGCTTTGAGCAAAGAGAGGGGGAAGAAAACGCATTTCTGTGATGTCATTGCCAGGTGAGAATACCGTATTTCTATGGTGTCATTGCCAGGTGAGAATACCGTATTTCTATGATGTCATTGCCAGTTGAGAATACCGCATTTCTATGGTGTCATTGCCAGTTGAGAATACCGCATTTCTATGGTGTCATTGCCAGTTGAGAATACCGTATTTCTGTGGTGTCATTGCCAGGTGAGAATACCGTATTTCTGTGGTGTCATTGCCAGGTGAGAATACCGTATTTCTGTGGTGTCATTGCCAGGTGAGAATACCGTATTTCTGTGGTATCATTGCCAGGTAAGAATACCGTTAGGGTTATTTGCTTTGCTGCATTTTAAAGTGCTGTAACACTCGTACTGGAAATCCTTGATTCTAAAGCAAACCAACCATTTGCTTTCCAGGGAAGATAACTAGAAGTCAGAATTTGGGTTTTCTTCCTAGTTCTGCTGGGACAATAATTCAGATTGCTGGGCCTTCATTATCTGTATTTACAATACATCAAGACTATTCTTCCTTCTCTGTTAGTCTTTCTTAAGATTGAATTCATTGAAAATCACTGAACAATAACAAATGAATGACAAGGAAAGTTTTTCTTTTCCAGGACCTTTCAACTTAGGAATTCTTTCCGAAACTCCATTTTTTTTTTTTTTTGAGACAGAATCTTGCTGTCACTCAAGTTGGAGCACAATGGCCTGATCTCAGTTCACTGCAACCTCTGCCTCCCAGTTCAAGCGATTCTCCTGCCTCAGCCTCCCAAGTAGCTGGAACTACAGGCATGCGCCACCACACCTAGCTAATTTTTGTATTTTTAATAGAGATGGGGTTTCACCATGTTGGCAAGGCTGGTCTCGAACTCCTGGCCTCAAGTGATCCACCCACATCGGCCTCCCAAAGTGTTGGGATGACAGGCGTGAGCCACCACGCCCGGCCTGAAACTCCCTTTAGATGTTCATCCAGTAATGATTGATCCTGCATTTTTCTCGTCCTTTTTTGCTCATTTACCATCAGCATTGTTTTTATTCTGCTCTTAGAGAGATTTCCTTAACTTTGTCTTGCAACTCTTTCTTTCTTCTTCTTATTTTTCTAAGACTGGGACTTGCTCTGCTGCCCAGGCTAAAGTGCAGCCTCAACCTCCCAGGCTCAAGTGATTCTCCTGCCTCAGCCTCCCAAGTAGCTAGAACCACAGATGTGTGTCACCATGTCTGGCTAATTTATTTTATTTTATTTTTGAGACGGAGTTTCGCTCTTGTTACCCAGGCTGGAGTGCAATGGCACAATCTCGGCTCACCGCAACGTCCGCCTCCTGGGTTCAGGCAATTCTCCTGCCTCAGCCTCCTGAGTAGCTGAGATTACAGGCACACACCACCATGCCCAGCTGATTTTTTGTATTTTTAATAGAGATGGGGTTTCACCATGTTGACCAGGATGGTCTCGATCTCTTGACCTGATGATCCACCCGCCTCAGCCTCCCAAAGTGCTGGGATTATAGGCTTGAGCCACCACGCCCAGCAGATCCCCCTATTTTTAGCACGGCCTTTCATCTCCACTTCCAGCTGTGTCTGGTTCTGTCTCCAAGTCCAAATCCTTGGTTCAACTCTTCCAGGAAACCTAGCCAAAACTAACAATACACCCATGATATCCCAAGATGAGGACAGGCAGTTGCCTGACCACAACGGGTGAGGAAGGGAATCAAAAGGTCATAATGCTCCTTTGCCAGACTTTCAATCACTCCACTCAGATTTAACCCTGTAGCTGGGCGCAGTGGCTCACATCTGCCAGCACTTTGGGAGGCCAAGGTGGGTGGATCACGAAGTCAGGAGTTCGAGACAAGCCTGGCCAACATGGCGAAACCCCATCTCTACCAAAACTACAAAAAATTAGCCAGGTGTGATGGCAGTCACCTGTAATCCCAGCTACTCAGGAGGCTGAGGCAGGAGAATCACTTGAACCCGGGAGGTGGGGTTGCAATGAGCCGAGACTGCGCCACTGCACTCCAGCAGCCTGGGCAACAGAGGGAGACTGTCTAAACCAAACAAAACAAAAACAAACCAACAGACAAGAAGGTGTGTGGTGCCTCCATGTGCTGCGCTTTTCTGGGGGGCTGTAGTTTTATTCAGTTTTCTTCTTGGCTTCTCATTCTGTACACATTTAGATCTCATTTTTCTCTTGTCTGCTTTATATCTTCTTTAGTTTTGCTGATGTATGTCAACTGCATTCTTTCTTCTTCCAATCTGTCTTTTTTTTTTTTTAAGACGGGATTTCACCATGTTGGTCAGGCTGGTTTTCAACTCCCAACCTCAGGTGACCACCCACCTTCGCCTCCAAAGTGCTTGGATTACAGGTGTGAACCACCACGCCTGGCCAATCTCTTTGTCTTTATAAGTTTATACCTTTTATTATTTTCTTGCCTGTTATTTTAGTATTGTTTCAAGAGGGAACGGAGAGCCGGGCATGGTGGCTCATGCGTGTGATCCCAGCACTTTGGGAGGCTGAGGTGGGTGGATCATTGGAGGTCAGGAGTTCGAGACAGCCTGGCCAACATGGTGACATCCTTCCTCTACTAAAAATACAAAAATTACTTGGGCGTGGTGGCGTATACCTGTAGTTCCCAGCTACTCAGGAAGCTGAGGCAGGAGAATTGCTTGAACCTGGGAGGTGGAGGTTGCAGTGAGTTGAGATCACACCACTGGACTCCAGCCTACAGAACAGAATAAATAAACAAAAATAAAAATAAAAACTCTTGAGTAAAAATGTTTACCTAGCTGCGGTTTAGTAAGAAGTCTTTTTTTGTTGTTTTGTTTATTCTGGTATTGTTTTGCTATTTTTTGTTTGTTTTAAACCTAAATAATGGTATTGCTGGAGAGAGCAGAAGGCTGTTTCTGAGAGCAAACCGGGAAACAGTAATATAGTTAAGTTCTCAGGCTCTGGTGTCAGAGCGTACTGAGTTTGAACCCCTTCTGCCATTTACTGTTCGTGTGACCATGGCAAGTATGTAAGTCCAGGTCTTCTGAGAAATCGATGCCAAGATGGAATGATTCGTGCAAAGACTATCAGGGGAAATGTCTGTGTGAGAGGAAATGCCGACCCCAAGAGAAGGAGAGGGGTGGAAGCCCCTGCTATGTTTGGCAAGGTCTTCAGGGGTCCTTGAACTAAAGTCAACCATCAGAGAAGTCCTGGCTCCCCGGAAAGGCTTGCTCCATACTATTCCTGCCACACTTCACTGGGTGGGAGCAGTCTGTGGGAAGTGTGGTCCCGGAACACACACAGCAAAGGATTTTGGAGCCTAGAAGCTGTAACCCTTGCTTTTGTATGTCCTGATTTCCAGGACAAAGTGGATTTGTGAGCTTCTGTGGTCATTCGGACCCAACCTCCATCCCTGTAGTTGGAGCCTGGTGAGGCACATTCTCACATCCAGTATATCAAGCTACCTTAGCCCTCTCTGTAAAACAGGGATAATGATGGATTACCTCGGAAGGCTGTTTTGAGGGGAAGAATACGTAATGAGAGTGCCCAAAGTAGAAAGGGTTCTTCTTTCTCCTCCTGCTGTCCTTCTCTTCTTCACTTTTTCTCAGGGGCAGCTATTTTAGATTTAATACTGATAAGCCAGAAAATCTTCCTCCAAATTATTAAAACAAATTGTCTTTTAAAAAGTGTTATTGCAAATGTGTTATTGGACCAGCACCAATAGCATCACCTGGGAGCTCGACAGAGCAGCACCTTTCAGGCTCCCCTCCCAGACCTGCTGAATCAGTCTCTGGGAGTAGAGGCCAGGAATTTGGTTTCTGTTTGTTTGTTTTTTCAGATGGAGTTTTGCTCTTGTTGCCCAGGCTGGAGTACAGTGGTATGATCTCAGCTCACTGCAACCGCTGCCTCTTGGGTCCAAGTGATTCTCCTGCCTCAGACTCCCAAGTAGCTTGGACTACAGTCATGAGCCACCACACCCAGCTAATTTTTATATTTTTAGTAGAGATGGGGTTTCACCATGTTGGCCAGGTTGGTCTTGAACTCCCGGCCTCAGGTGATCCACCCACCTTGGCCTCCCAAAGTTCTGGGATCACAGGTGTGAGGAGTTTGGTGTTTTGTGTGCAGGGTGACCCTCGTGCACTCCAAGGTTTGAGAAGCTCTGCTCTGAACACAAATCATTCTCATTTCTTCTAGGGAGGAAAAAGGAAGAAAACAGATAATATCCCTTCAAAAACAGCTAATTAACGTCAAAAAAGAACAGCAATTTGAAGTACAGGTAAGAATTACCTGCGTAACACCAAAAGTGACTGAGCTAACATAGCTATTAAATAAATGGATGCTATCTTTCTCAAGCAGAGAAGAGTTACGCATAAAAGATCATTGTTTCTTCTGGCATTCCTTTACTGTTGAAATATAGCCAGGCACAGTGGCTCACACCTGGAGTCCCAGCACTTTAGGAGGCCAAGGTGGGTGGATCACCTGAGGTCAGGAGTTTGAGACCAGCCTGGCCAACATGGTGAAACTCCATCTCTACTAAAAATATAAAAATTAGCCGGGTGTGGTCGTGCGTGCCTGTAATCCCAGCACTTTGGGAGGCCGAGGTGGGTGGATCATGAGGTCAAGAGATCGAGACCATCCTGGTCAACATGGCGAAACCCCGTCTCTACTAAAAATAGAAAAATTAGCTGGGCATGATGGCGCGTGCCTGTAATCCCAGCTACTCAGGAGGCTGAGGCAGGAGAATTGCCTGAACCCAGGAGGTGGAGGTTCCGGTGAACCGAGATCGCGCCATTGCACTCCAGCCTGGGTAACGAGCAAAACTCCGTCTCAAAAAAAAAAAAAAATTAGCCAGGTGTGGTCATGCATGCCTGTAATCCCAGCTACCTGGGAAGCTGAGGCAGGAGAATCGCTTGAACCCTGGGAGGTTGCAGTGAGCTGAGATATCGCCATTGCCCTCTAGTCTGGGCGACAGAGTAAGATTCTGTCTCAAAAAAAGAAAAAGAAAATATAAAGAGAGCAACTAGTGATCTGGCCTGGGTTGTACAGGTTTCTCTTGAGTGCAGAGCCCTGTGAGACCCCAACTCCCTGAAGCTGTTAGTCCTCATCCTCATATCCTACCCCACATACACCGTCCACCCCTCTCCCACAGGGGACCTAGTCTCAGGCAGCCTCTTATATTCTTAAATCCCAGATGCAAAATTATATTCCTAGAGAAGACATTAAGCACATTATACATCTTCTTATACGTGGCGGTTAGGCTTAATCATGGCATTCGTATTATATTTCAAGGACAAAGTGGATTTGTGAGCTTTTGTGGTCACTAGGACCCAACCTCATATCTAGAGTACTTTACAAGAAAATACATCCCAAGTTTTAAGGAACTGACTTGCAAAACAAAGTTGGGGCTACAATCTAAGCAGTTAGAAACAAGCTGTATCAGGATAACGGACAGCTTTTCTTATGAGCAGTCTAGAAAGTTACAGAGGATGGCTGGGCACAGTGGCTCACATCTGTAATCCCAACACTTTGGAAGGTCGAGGCAGGCGGATCACCTGAAGTCGGGAGTTTGAGACCAGTCTGACCAACATGAAGAAACTTTGTCTCTACTAAAAATACAAAATTAGCCAGGTGTGGTGGTGCACGCCTGTAACACCAGCTACTCGAGAGGCTGAGGCAGGAGAATCGCTTGAACCTGGGAGGTGGAGGTTGTGGTGAGCCAAGATCAAGTCATTGCACACCAGCCTGGACAACAAAAGTGAAAATCTGTCTCAAAAAAAAAAGAAAGTTACAGAGGATGGCCAGGCGAGTGGCTCATGCCTATAATCCCAGCACTTTGGGAGGCCGAGGTGGGTGGATCACGAGGTCAGGAGATGGAGACCAGCCTGACCAACATGGTGAAACCCTGTCTCTACTAAAAATACAAAAATTAGCAGTGCATGGTGGCGCGCGCCTGTAGTCCCAGCTACTTAGGAAGCTGAGTATCATTCAGATATTATGATCATCAGCAAAAGAATAGGTTAAGAAACCAAGATTATGCTTTGTACCGGATCTCGAAAGAAAGAGAAAAAGAGAGAGGGAAGGAGGGAGGGAGGGAGGGAGGGAGGGAGGAAAAAGAAAGGAGGGAAGGAGAGAAGGAAGAAAGGAAGGAGGGAAGGAATAGAGGGAGGCATCAAGACCAGCAGATCCAAGGCAAGCCTTGGAACAGAAAAACAACGATCAAAATGAAATCAAGTTAAATCCCTAGAGTTACTGAAAACCAGTAGTCAAGGTTGGAAACAAGAAGATAGGAAGCGCCTGGACATTAGGGACATGTGGGTCAGAAAATGACGCCAACAAGAATGCAGCGTTTTGTGGTAGCTGGGATGTTTGGAGCAATTGCCTTAGACACTAGGCAAAAAGTCACAAAGGAAGAAAGTTTCAGACTTCTGAACATCAGCATACAAAACAAGGTAACAGTGGATCAGAACTTTCACGAAACTACTGGGAAAAAAGAACCAAGATCTGTATATACAGATTATCTTTTGGTGGGGTGTGGCGGCTCACACCTGTAATCCCAGCACTTTGGGAGCCCAAGTCAGTCAAATCATGAGGTCAAGAGATCGAGACCATCCTGGCCAACATGCTGAAACCCTGTCTCTACTAAAAACACAAAAATTAGCTGGGTGTGGTGGTGCGCACCTGCCGTCCCAACTCCTTGGGAGGCTGACGCAGGAGAATCACTTGAACCCAGGAGGCAGAGGTTGCAGTGAGCTGAGATTGCGCCACTGTACTCCAGCATGGTGACAGAGCAAGACTCCATCTCAAAAAGAAAAAAAAAATTGTCTTTTTTATATCCATAACAGACTTAGAGTAGAAAATTGAAAATTTACATATATTACTTACCATAGTGTCAACACCATCAAGTACCTAGCATTGAATCTAACGGCAGCAACAAAATAACAGTAAAACGCATGTCACCAGGCCCAGCTAATTTTGTATTTTTAGTAGAGACAGGGTTTTGCCATGTTGCCCAGGCTGGTCTGGAACTCCTGGTACGAGGCAGTATTCCACCTCCCTTGGCCTCCCAAAGTGCTGGGATTACAGGTGTGAGCCACTGTGCCTCGACATTTTTTTTTTTTTTAATTGAGATGTGGATCTCTCTTTGTTGCCCAAGCTGGTCTTGAACTCCTGGCCTCAAGCAGTCCTACCTCAGCCTCCCAAGTAACTAGGATTATTGCAGCTCAGAGTTTATTCTGAGTCTATGGACTCATATAGTATCAGCCAGTATTCTAAGTCAGGGTCACGCAGACAAATAGAAATGTTATTTTTTTTTAAGACATAGAATCATTCTCTCCCCCAGGCTGGAGGGTAGTGGTGTGATCTCGGCTCACCACAACCTCCGCCTCTAGGGTTCAAGTGATTCTCCTACCTCAGCCTCCCAAGTAGCTGGGATTCCAGGGGTGTACCACCACACCTGGCTAATTTTTGTATTTTTTTAGTGGAGATGGGTTTTTGCTATGTTGGCCAGGCTAGTCGCAAACTCCTGACCTCAAATGATCTGCCCACCTCAGCCTCCCAAAGTGCTGGGATTACAGGCATGAGCCACCATGTCTGGCCATAAATGTTAACTTAATAGAGAATTTTTTTTTTCCTGTGGCTTCTATCTCTTTAATAGACTACATCACATCCCCATTTTCCTTTTGCTTTCCAACCAGAGGGGCAACCTTAGGTATAAGACAAGTGCCAACTTCGCAGACAGTAGCTTCCAAACTTCCAGGAACCAGTGCCCTGTTCTGTACTTTGCTTACAGTTATGAAAGCAGACACCACCATTAAAAGCCCGTGGCTCGGCCGGGCGCGGTGGCTAATGCCTGTCATCTCAGCACTTTGGGAGGCCGAGGCGGATGGATCGCAAGGTCAGGAGATCGAGATTATCCTGGCTAACATGGTGAAACACCGTCTAGCCGGGCGTGGTGGCACATGCCTGTAACCCCAGTTACTCAGGAGGTTAAGGCAGGACAATCATTTGAACCCAGGAGGCGGAGGTGGCAGTGAGCCGGAACTGCACTCCAGCCTGGGCGATAGAGTGAGACTCGGTCTCAAAGTAAAAAAAAAAAGCCCTTGGCTCACATTATTATGGCAGCCATCAGAGCCTTATTAACTCGAACTGGTAGACTGCCTCTTTTTATTAGTAAATCGTGCTTCTCTTAATTCAAATAACATGTCCAGAAGTCCAGATCTGAGGGCAATTTTGGGATTTGGAAGTAACGTGGGTCAGCCATGAAAACCCAAAAATGCGATGCATCAGTCCATGGACCTGACCATGAGGAAAGTTCCAGACACCGTGGACAACTAGGATTGCATGTTGTAGTGAAGGCAAATGTTTTCTTAGTAAAATCTGAAAAGGCATTCATGCAACCCAAAACCCTTGGCCTGGACCGGCTGCTTCTAGGCTGGCTCTTCTTTCACACTGGGAAGAAGAGGAAATGGAATGGCACTTCAGCTCGTCAGTATACCCCAGTCATGATTTTACCATCAGTGGCCTGTCAGCGTTTCTTATCCTCCTCCTGTGTTTCCACACCGTCAGCATGGAGGGTCATAAAAACGTTTGTGCAAGGCCGGGCACAGTGACTCACAGCTGCAATCCCAGCACTTTGGGAGGCCAAGGCAGGCGGATCACAAGGTCAAGAAATCTAGACCATCCTGGCCAACATGATGAAATCCCGTCTCTACTAAAATACAAAAAATAATTAACTTGTGGTGGCGCACACCTGTAGTCCCAGCTACTCGGGAGGCTGAGTCAGGAGAATGCTTGAACCCAGGAGGTGGAGATTGCAGTGAGCCGAGATTGCACCACTGCACTACAGCCTGGGTGACAGTGCGAGACTCTGTCTCAAAAACATATATATATATTTGTGCAAAATACCAATCCAGGAGGAACCCAGAGTACTCAGAGGCCCATGGCAATGGCATTAAAACCAGATGTCTTTGACTTGGCATTGTCGATGTTGTGTGTCCCTATAAACACTTTCATGATGCAATACCTTCTGTTTACCAGAGGCAGAAGCTAAAGACTTTTCACTTTGCATTTCTGATCTTCATATTTTTACTCTGAAGTCTTAATATTGAATTTGAGGAAGAAAAATTACCAGAAAACACTCTTGAGTTTTCAAAAGTATATATTTGTATGTATGGACACTATTTAACAAATACCTGTCTAACACTATTTAGATTCTGTGAGAAACAAAACTACAGAAAACCTACAGGCTAAGGTTTTCTGCAAAAGGCTTTATTTACGTAAGTGATATACAAGCTGGACCTTGAAGGAAATCTAAGGGATAATATAGGTAAAAGGATCCAGGTGAAGAAGTAAAACCGTCACATTTTCACTTTAACTCCAGTCATTTAAAGATTCAAACCTAGGCCAGGCACGGTGGCTCATGGCTGTCATTCCAGCACTTTCGGAGGTGGAGGCGAGTGGATTGTTTGAGGCCAGGAGTTTGAGACCAGTCTGGGAAACATGGCAAAACCCTATCTCTACCAAAAAAAAAAAATACAATTAGCTGGGAGTGGTGGCGTGGTAGCATGCCCCTGTGGGCCCAGCTATTTGGGAGGCTGAGGTGAGAGGATCACTTGAGCCCCAGAGGTAGAGGTTGCAGTGAGCTGTGCTCACGCCACTGCACTCCAGCCTGGGCAACAGAGCGAGACCCTATCTCAAAAAAAAAAAAAAAAAAAAAAAAAAGATTCACACCTTAACACTGACTGCCATACAATTTGGGAATAGAAGGGAGGGAAGAGGAAGAAAGAGGAGAAATGGGTCAAGCACAGTGGCTCACACCTGTAATCCCAGCACTTTGGAAGGCTGAGGCGGGCAGATCACCTGAGGTCAGTAGTTCCAGACCAGCCTGGCCAACATGGTGAAGCTCTGTCTCTACTAAAAAAAAAAAAAAAAAAAAACAGAAAAATTAGCCAAGTGTGGTGGCACATGCTTATAATCCCAGATACTCAGGAGGCTGAGGCAAGAGAATCGTTTGAACCTGGGAGGTGGAGGTTGCAGTGAGCTGAGATCACACCACTGCACTCCAGCCTGGGCAATACAGCAAGATTCCATCTCAAAAAAAAGCGGGGCAGGGGGACGGGAAGAAATGGGGAAGACAGGGGAGAAGGAAAGTGTGTATAGAAAGAATGGAAGGAAAAGTGAGCCAAAAGCAGATAGCTCTTAAAATTCCTTTAATCAACATTTATTGAGCCTACAGATTGTGCCAGGCACTGGGATGACAAAATAGGCTTAGTGAGGTTAAGTAATTTGCCTGCAATCCTGCAACTTGTAAGAGAATATGAAATACTAAGACATATTATCAAAGGGCTTATAGCATATTCTGTGCCAGAAATACTGAGTCTCTTTGGAATGATTCTGATCTAGCTAGAATAACTCTCATACAATTAGAATGATTCTGTAGAGGTATATCAAGAAGTTAGTAGATAAAATAACTTGAAGAATTCCATTCTGATTCATCTTATGATTCTTTTTCTTTCTTTTTTTTGAGACTGGGTCTCACTCTATTGCCCAGGCTAAAGTGCAATGGCGTGAACACAGCTCACTGCAGCCTCGACGTTGGGGCTTAAGGGATTCTACCACTTCAGTCTCCCTAGTAGCTGGGACTACAGGTACATGCCACCAGGCCTAGATAGTTTTTAAATTTTTTTGCAAGGACAGGTTTCACCATGTTGCCCTGGCCGGTCTTGAACTTCTGGGTTCAAGTGATCCTTCTGCCTTGATTTCACAGAGTTTTGGGATTATAGGTGAGCCATGCCGCCGGGCTGGGACCTAATGACACTTTAAGTCAAGCTTACCCAACCTGCAACCCGCAGGCCGCATGTGGCCCAGGATGGCTTTGATTGGGACCCAACACAAATTCATAAACTCTGTTAAAACATTAGGAGAGATGTTGTATGTGTGATTTTTTTTAGCCTGTCAGCTATTGTTGGTGTATTTTATGTGTGGCCCAATGCAATCCTTCTTCTTCCAATGTGGCCAGTGAAGCCAAAAGACTGGGCACTGCTGCCTACGTCTGCTTTCCTTAATAGAGGATTTTTCCAATTACCGCTTTGTTTTTCCTGCAGTTACTTAGAATTAATTCCCTAGCTACTTGGGAGGCTGAAGACAGGAGACTGCTTGAGCCTAGGAGTTCAAGATCACAGTGAGCTACGATGGTGACACTGTACTACAACCTGGGGGACAGAGTAAGACCCTACCTCAAGAAAAAAAATGAGGCTGGGTGCAGCAGTGGCTCCTGCCTGTAATCCTAGCACTTTGGGAGGCTGAGATGGCAGGATCATTTGAGCCCGGGGTTTTGAGGCCAGCCTGGGCAACATCGTGAAACTCTGTTTCTACAATAATAATGATAATAATAATAAGCCTCTATAGGCTGAGGCAGGAGGATTTCTTGAGCCTGAGAGGTCACAGTTGCAGTGAGCCATGATCATGCTACTGCACTTCAGCTTGAGTGACAGAACAAGACCCTGTCTCCAAAAAAACCAACAAAAAAGCTGGGTGCAGTGGCTCATGCCTGTAATCTCGGCACTTCAGGAGGCCAAGGCGGGAGGATCCCTTGAAGCCAAGAGTTTGAGACCAACCTGGGCAACATAGAGAGACCCCCATCTCTAAAAATGTTAAAAAGTGAGCCGGGCATGATGGCATACACCTGTAGTACTAGCTACTTGGGAGGTCACTTGAGCCCAGAAACTAACTGAAGGTTAGTGAGCTGTGATCAAGCCTCTGGACTCCAGCCTGGGTGATAGAGGGAGATCCTGTCTCTAAAAAAGAATTTTTTTTAAATAAAAAACTAATTCTACCCAACTTACACACTAAGATGAAAGGTGGTTGGAAAGGTGGTGGCTCACGCCTGTAATCCCAGCACTTAGGGAGGCCGAAGGTGGGTGGATCACCTGAGGTTGGGAGTTCAAGACCAGCCTGACCAACATGGAGGAAACCCCATCTCTACTAAAAATACAAAATTAGCTGGGCGAGATGACGGGTGCCTGTAACCCCAGCTACTTGGGAGGCCAAGGCAGGAGAATTGCTTGAAGCCAGGAGGCGGAGGTTCTGATGAGCCGAGATCGCGCCGTTGCACTCCAGCCTGGGCAACAAGAGCGCAAAGAAAAAGAAAAAGAAAAGAAACGGCAGTTGGCGTTTAAAGGAGGGCAAATCTGAAACCATGCACTTCTGTTGCTGGTTGTGTTTGCTTGTTACGCTGTCAGGTGACTACTGATCACCTCTCTGTGGAGTTACTCACATTGTTTCTTCTCAAACAGTTCTTTCAAACAAATGTTACCCCTGACTAAAAGCTTTCCAAGGGTTCCCATGACAGTCGGAATAAAATCTGAATTTCTCAGTCAGGCCTCTGAGGTCCTGCGTGGTACACTTATCTCCAACCTCCTTGTCCTCCCTTCAGTCCTCACTAGTCTAGAGCCTCCAGAGTTTTCTTTCAGTTCCTGGAATGTATCCAGGTCTTGACTGCTTCAGGATTTGGGGATATATGTTTTCTTAACAATTCCCTTAACCCTATTTTTCTTTCTTCTTTCTCTTTTTTCTTTCCCCTCTCTCCCTCACTCCCTTCCTTCCTTCCTTCCTTCTCTCTCTCCTCTTTTTCTTTCTTTCTTGAGATGGAGTTTTGCTCTTGTTGCCCAGGCTGGAGTGCAATGTCGTGATCTCAGCTCACCTCAACCTCCGCCTCCGGGTTCAAGTAATTCTCCTGCCTCAGCCTCCCACGCCCCACCACGCCCAGCTAATGTTTGTATTTTTGGTAGAGACGGGGTTTCACCATGTTGACCAGGATGGTCTCGATCTCTTGACCTCGTGATCTACTCGCCTCCGCCTCCCAAAGTACCGGGATTACAGGTGTGAGCCACTGCACCCAGCCAACCCTATTTTTCATGTGGTGGGTTTACTTATCCTTCAGGTATCGAATAAACCATTGCTTTCCTAAGAGAGTCCCTCCCAGACCTTCCAATCTAATGTACTTCTCCTTTGCTATTTTCTCCCACAGTCTGTCAAGCTTTTCTTTTCTATCATTTTGCACAATTTTTAAAAGTTCACACATATTTGTTTCTTTTTAACCATATCTCTTCTATTGGATCGTAAGCTCTACAGGAGCAGGGAATATGTCTGTTTAGAGCTTCACTATTTTCTTAGTGCCTAGCTCAATGCCTGGTGCTGAATAAATATTTTTCTTTTTTAATTTAAAAAAAAATTTTTTTTTTTGAGACGGAGTTACGCTCTTGTTACCCAGGCTAGAGTGCAACGGCACGATCTCGGCTCACTGCAACCTCCTCCTCCTGGGTTCAGGCAATTCTCCCGCCTCAGCCTCCTGAGTAGCTGGGATTACAGGCACACAACACCATGCCCAGCTAATTTTTTGTATTTTTAGTAGAGACGGGGTTTCACCATGTTGACCAGGATGGTCTCGATCTCTTGGCCTCGTGATCCGCCTGCCTCGACCTCCCAAAGTGCTGGGATCACAGGCTTGAGCCACCGCGCCTGGCCCAATATTTTTCTTAATGAATATTGAGTCCTCACAATTGCAAGCACTTGGTGACCTGCAAAAAGAGTTTTCACACATATTATGAATGAAACGTAATAATCACTCTCTGAGATATTTCAGGCAAAGTAGATTTTTTTTTATTTATAGAAGGTAAAAAAGTTGGAGAGTTTGGCTTGGCCAAGTTCACATAGCTGGAGGCTTGGGTGGGAAGTCAGTTCTTTTGATCATTTTGACCAGTGATCTCTCTCCCACAATAAGAAATCTGTGCGGGGAATACGGAGTACACCGATAATGTGCCTGGGAACTAATCTCACAGCCCTGATTCTCAGAACTGCTGTGTTCTCTTTCATCTGTACTCTTCATGATTGTTGGCTAAAATTCCCATTGTGTGAAAAATAGTTCTAGTTCCTTGTTGATTTATACATACAAAGAGGAACCTGAAGCCACTGACTGAACCCAATGGAGGTAGAATGTATTTTCAGTTTAGAAACCTGGTCTTTCCACTACAGAGTCAGAATGAATACATTGCTAACCTCAAGGACCAACTGCAAGAGATGAAAGCAAAAACCAATTTGGAGAATCGCTACATGAAAATCAATACTGAGCTGCAGATTGCCCAGACCCAGAAAAAGTGTAACAGAACAGAGGAACTCTTGCTGGAAGAGATTGAGGTAATCCTTGGGACATTAGGAAAGAACCCAGAGATGGCATTTGAGCTCTCACTGTTGATACTGTGTCAGCTAACAAGGAGGGAGAGGAAGATTTCCCTCCATCTATCCAACAGCCCCTTGCACTTGAGGTTGAAAATAAAAGCCTTAATGAGGATGTGCATATTTGCACGCAGAGATTCCAACGGGCCGTAGCCTCCATCTCCTGCTTCTTTCATAATGACTCTGAAAATTGGCTGTACTTTCTCCCCTTATCAAACCACTCACCATTTCTCTTACTAATTATAGGGAGAGGGCAAAACAAGATACTTAGTTATGGCAGGATTTTGCTGCTGTTTATTCCATCTAACTAGTACCTTTCATTCTCAACATCTAGAGAGCTGAAGTTCATTCAAACCTAAATTTATAGAGATAAGAAGTCACGGTGAAAAACATCAAAATATCAGGAGGAAGAAATGGTAGATCTTGCGGGGAATGCTAAATGACCACGCACGCACACACACATGCACACAAAGCCAGGCACTAGTCCCAGCTAACTGGAGGTGAGGCATCGAGACAGGACGATCCTTGAGCCCAGGATTTCGAAGTCAGCCTGGGCAACATAGGAAGACTTCCTTCTCAAAAAAAAAAAAAAGAAAGAAAGAAAGAAAAGAAAAGAACAACAGGCAGATGGGAAGAAGGAAGAAGGAACAAACATCCTTAGACAAGGTAACTTCTGTGCAGGAGGAGTCCTTCCTCTTAAATTTACATGGCTGAAGGCCTTGACGACAGTTTTTTGCACTCTGAAACTTCCTTATAGGCCCTAAAATTTTGTGCCCTTGAAGTACTGTTTCTCTCCTTAAATGGTCACCTGTTTTCAGGTAACAGGTTTGTGTTCCGTTAGGGGACACTAACACACATCTAGACAGTGCCTCGCCACGTGGGTCTGCAGTGTCTGTCCACAGGAATTGCACTGAACTGAACTGAATTCCCACGCGAGAGCAATACCACAGAATTCCTGTGATCCCAGGTGGTAAAGGAAACCTGAGCTGCTGACCAAGCTGCAGCCCTAATCTTGAGAACAACTGATTCCCAGCCCTGCGGGGAAGGCTTGCTAGTATCTGATTATTGTTCTTACAGAAGCTAAGGATGAAAACCGAAGAAGAGACCCGGGTTCATATGGAGATTGAAATGTTCCTTAGAAAGGAGCAGCAGGTGGGTCACCAAAACTTTTCTATGCTTTGCTCTGCTTTTTTTTTCTACACCACTTATACCGAGGAAAGAAAAATAATTTTTTCTAAAGAAAAATCAACCATCATTCTTTCAGTCCAATAAACTGTAGCCCATGTTTTCTTTCAGGGTCATGCATCTGAATAGATATATAGCTGTAATCTGACAGAGTACAGGCAAAACTTTGTCTCCTGCTTTTATCATTGAGCTTATATGAGAAAACTTTTTGGCCACGTACGGTGGCTCATGCCTATAATCCCAGCACTTTGGGAGTCTGAGGTGGGCTGATCACCTGAAGTGGGGAGTTCAAGACCAGCCTGACCAACATGGAGAAACCCTATCTCTACTAAAAATACAAAATTAGCCAGGTGTGGTGGCCCATTCATGTAATCCCAGCTACTCAGGAGGCTGAGGCAGGAGAATCCCTTGAACCCGGGAGGTGGAGGTTGTGGTGAGCCAAGATTGTGCCATTGCACTCCAGCCTGGGCAACAAGAGCAAAACTCCATCTCAAAAGAAAAAAAAATTTTTTGATTCCTATATTGCTGTATACTGATAATTTTTAAATTATGACTTAATTTATGACTTAAAATATATTAAGTCAAGGCCAGGCGTGGTGGCTCACACCTGTAATCCCAACACTCTGGGAGGCTGAGGCAGGCGAATTACGAGGTCAGGAGTTAGGGTCTAACTCATCCTGATTAGAATAAGTTAGATCACTGCACCCCAATTGGGCATCATTTTCCTATTATTGGTTACACCACCATTGTTCTGGTGTTTTGGTCAGGATTACACATGAATTCATCATAGTCATGCCTCGTTTCTCATATGCAAGTTAGAGCATTCAGAGGAAAAGAACAGACCCCTGAAACTTTGAATGGCAAGCAAGAACCCTCTTGTTGTGGCATCAGTAAAACGTGCAGGTGAACTAGTGCCACTGGGTGTCCCACCCACACACTGCTAGCAACCCCGGGAAACAAAGAGAAGCCTTCCTGTTGTGTCCCTCCAGCGCCCTCTACTGACACAGTTTATCATTCTGTCAGCTGGCAAGAAAAATGTTAATAGCAAGCATCCATTTTCACAAAGCAAAGAAAGATGGATTTGGAGCGGACAGGCAATAAACCGGTAACTGGCACAAATGAGTTTTTATTTTTACTTTTTTTAATCATCAAGTGTGAGGTTTACTCTGTAGATTTCTGGTATATAAACTATCAACTTCAGGAAGTACCTTTTTAGTCTGGTCTTGCTAAAAGTTTTTTTTCTAATCAGGAAAAGTACTCAATTTTATGAGATGAATTTTTTTTCATTCATTGAGATGATATTGTTTTCTTTAATGTGTTAATAAAGAAACACATTAATAGATTTGCTGATGTTGAGTCATTTTCAAGTTCTTGGGATAAACTTTACCCAATTATAATGTGTTATTCTTTTAATAGATCATTAGTAAATTGATTTATAGTCTTAAAACTTTTTTCCTAAACTTTTTTTTAACTTTTAATTTTTGTGGGCACATAGTAGGTGTATATTATGCTACCGTGCCTGGCTAATTTTTCTTTTTTTCACCATGTTGCCATGGCTGATCTCAAACTCCCAGACTCAAGTAATCCTCCTGCCTCAGCCTCCCAAAGTGCTGGCTGGGATTATGGCATGAGAGATGGCACCTGGCCAATATTTTCTACCTAATTATTCGCCTAAACAGATAAATCAATTCATTTTAACTTAAGATTTTTATATCATTACTATAAAAGGAAAGCCAGTATCGCCTTCCATAAATATAAATTAGTATAAATAGGCTGGGCATGGTGGCTCACACCTGTAATCCCAGCAATTCGGGAGGCTGATGTGGGTGGATCGCTTGAACATAGAGCTTGAGACCAGCCTGGGCAACAGAGTGAGATCCTGTCTCTAACAAAAAATACAAAAAGTAGCCAGACATGGTGTTGCACACCTGTAGTCCCAGCTACTCAAGAGGCTGAGATGGGAGGATGACCTCGGCCCTGGAGGCAGAGGTTGCAGTGAACTAATATCATGCCATTGCACTCCAGTCTGAGTGTCACAGCCAGACCTTATCTCAAAGTAAATGAATAAAATAATGTGAATAGAAATACGAAAAATACCGAACGATGTTACTGCCTCATAGCCAGCCCTTTTGTTTGCCTGGAGCTTGTTCCCTCTTTGTTTTTTGGGGTTTTCAAAAACTTGTTAACAAAAGAAGAGAAGATGTAAGAGACGTGACAGCACCAAACTGACGTGTTACTGTAACATAATCAGAGTGATTTTATAAGAGACTGGCTCTCATTCCATTGCCCAGGCCGGAGTGCAGTGGCCTCATCACAGCTAATGCACCCTCAAATCCTGGGCTGAAATAATCATCCTGTGCAGCCCTGAGTAGCTAGGGACCACACATGCATACCACCACACCTGGCCAATTAAAACATTTTTGCAGAAATAGGGTCTCACTGTGTTGCTCAGGGTGGCCTCAAACTCCTGGTCCCAAGCAATCCTTCCACCTCTGCCTTCCAAACAGCTGGGATTACAGGCACAAGCCTCCCTACTTAGTGTAATCAGAATGATTAACTATAGCCATGTTTTAAAAACATTATATGCTACGTACCACCTAAAGTAACCTCTCAATGTGTCACTCGAGGTACATCGTCTAGGAGTCTGCAAGTTACACACTTCTGTTCTTTTGGGGGTAACCTTTAAATTTTTTGTTTCTAGAAAGTACACAAATATGGAATGCTTCACAAATTTGTGTGTCACTCTTGCACAGTGGTCATGCTAATCACCTCTGTACTGTTCATATATATATATATATATATATTTTTTTTTTTTTTTTTGAGATGTAGTTTCACTCTTGTTACCCAGGCTGGAGTGCAATGGCGCGATCTCAGCTCACCGCAACCTCCACCTCCTGGGTTCAGGCAATTCCCCTGCCTTGGCCTCCTGAGTAGCTGGGGTTACAGGCACGCGCCACCATGCCCAGCTAATTTTTTGTATTTTTAGTAGAGTCAGGGTTTCACCATGTCGACCAGGATGGTCTCGATCTCTTGACCTCGTGATCCACCCACCTCGGCCTCCCAAAAAATGGTGGGATTACAGGCTTGAGCCACCGCGCCCGGCTTTTTTTTTAGATGAAGTTTCATTCTTGTTGCCCAGGCTGGAGTGCAATGCTGTGATCTCAGCTCATTGCAACCTCTGCCTCCCAGGTTTAAGCTATTCTCCTGCCTCAGCCTCCCAAGTAGCTGGGATTACAGAGATGCACCACCATGTCCAGCTAATTTTGTATTTTTAGTAGAGATGCCCAGCTAATGTTGTATTTTTGTATTTCTCCATGTTGGTCAGGTGGATCTCAAACTCCTGACCTCAGGTGATCCACCTGCCTCGGGCTCCCAAAGTGCTGGGATTACAGGTGTGAACCACTGTGCCCGGCCTATTTTGGTATATATGTTACTACACAACTCTTAAAATGTTAACATCTCTTTTTACACTTTTGAAATTTATCTGCCTAGGGTTAATCAATATTTATACCTTCTTGCCTTTATTAAGGCAAAGATTTCACTTATTTCTTCTCTCCCTCTTCATCTCATGTTGAAATCATTCATTTTATATATATATATAGTGATATATACAGACATTTTATATACATATATGTGCACTGTGGGTGTACAAGAATGATCTTGAGCATCAAAACAAGCCTCCGAGGTTTGTACTATGACTGTAATAGTAATACTGTACTATTGGCTAGGTATAGAATTTTATATATGAAGGAACCAGAGGCTTACAGAATGTAAGTAAACTTTCTTTCAGTGCCAGAGTTGGGAATTGAAACGTCAGAGCCTGTGCTCTTTCAACCAGATTATCCTGCCTACTTTGTGGTTTTAATTCTGAATTAGGATTTCTGATTAAAAAGTATCACATACCCTGCATGTTTTGCTGGTTCCTTTCCGTTTCTTAATATATCTTTCATTTTACTTTGCTACAGTAGTACATCCTTGAATAACTCTTTCAGAAAGACTGGGTTTAGTCTTTCCTTCCCTCACATTGGAATGCTGGGTTGGCTAGGTGTACAGTCTTTGATTCACATTCATTTTCTTTTAAAATTTTGAAGACATTGTATCCTACTTGACTAGGAAAGAAGAGATAGCTGATGCTTTTCCTTACCTTCAGACTTTTCTACATACTTTTCTTTCCTCTTCATTGCAACTTCCCCTATCCAGACATCTAGATGACCCTCCTCCCCTATTTTAAAATTGACTAACATACAACTTAAAATGTGTAAGTACTTAGTGTATAGTTTGATGGACATTTATGTGTACACATCCATCTAACCACCACCCGGACACAGGTACAGAGAACATTCACAGCATCCGAAATCAGTAGCCCAACTCTCCATCCAGATAAGTAACTACTGCTGTGACTTCTATCGATAGAAAGTTTTCCTTATTCTTGAAACTTATATAAGTGGAATCATACAGAATAGTGTTTTGTGTCTGGTGAATGCCATGTTTTCATGTTCTTTCCAAATAGAAACTTGAGGAGAAGCTAGAGTTCTGGATGGAGAAATATGATAAGGACACAGAAATGAAACAGAATGAACTAAATGCTCTCAAAGTGGCAAAGGCCAGTGACTTAGCACACCTTCAAGACCTCGCAAAGACGGTACGGACGTCCTCTGGGCGCTCACTGCATAGTGAGTGGGAACGAAGTTACAGTAGCTGGGTATTGCTATTTTGGGGCAAAAGTGGAGGTGTGCTTATAAACCGCCAGGATTCTTTTTAGGTGCTGCTGCTGCTGATGGGACAGAGCAGTGGCTAACACTGACACAGCGCTCTCTCTCTCCAAGGCGCTTTTCTAGTGTTTTAAATCTATAACGTATCTAACCCGCACAATCCCTTGAGGTAGACACTATTATTTCTACACTATGATCTCTGAAGACACTTTGTCAATGATTTCTAACAAGCCTGTGATTATGGTTTCATTATGGAATAAGTGCAGACTTCCTAAATTTTTTGTTTTGGGACAAAGTCTTGCTCTGTTGCCAGGCTGCAGTGCAGTGGCACAATCTTGGCTCACTGAAACCTCTGCTTCCCAGTTCAAGCAATTCCCCTGCCTCAGCCTCCCAAGTAGCTGGGACTACAGGTGTACACCTCTACGCCTGGGTAGTTTTTTGTATTTTAGTAGAGATGGGATTTTACTGCGTTGGCCAGGATGGTCTCAGTCTCCTGACCTCATGATCCGCCCACCTTGGTCTCCTGGGATGACAAGTGTGAGCCACTGTGCCTGGCCAAATTTCCACCAGCCTAAGTCACATGGCAAAACACCATCTCTACTAAAAATACAAAACTTAGCCAGGCATGGTGGTACACACCTGTAATTCCAGCTACTCAGGAGAGGAAGGCACAAGAATCACTTGAATCCAGGAGGATGGAAGTTGCAGTGAGCCAAGATTGTACCACTGCACTCCAGCCTGGGTGATAGAGACTGCCTCAAAACAACAACAAAAAACAGCTACTATTTGTATATGTACATTCCCCCAACGTTTTTTTAAAAAGCAATATTATTCTGAGGTCGTTAATGACATATTTGATTCATATTTCATTTCTTATGAAACAAAACAATTGAATTATTAAAACTGAAAAGTTTTGGGAATAATTATAAAGTCAGTATGTGAATATTTACAATCTAGGTATCTACTAAATTTTTTTCTTTGGTTTATCTTTAGATTTGGCATATTTTATTTTGAAATTTTATATTAAAAGCACAGGGCTGACTGGGCTGCAGCTTAGCCAAGAGAGCACAGTAATAAATGACTAATGTCTATAATGGCTACCCTTGCAGATAAGAGAGTATGAACAGATCATCACTGAAGATCGTATAGAAAAGGAGAAGAGCAGGAAGAAGGTAGAACAGGATCTCTTGGAATTAAAGAGCGTCATAAAGGTAAAGACCATCATCAGTATCTCGCCACAGCCGGCCTAACACTGAGGAGCACAGAAGCATCTCTCATTCATTATCAGACGCATCTTGGCTTACCAAGAAACTGGAGATCTGAGAAGCAGCATGGACTTCTGTCATTATTAGAATTTGCCAACACAGTCCATGGTGCAGGGAGACAGTTATAAAGATGTGCCCCCAGCTTTTCATTTGGGGAAAAACAAGTGGTTAGCAGTGGAAGCAAAACCTGGGCCTGGAGATGAAATGTGAGAATACTATGTCTAACCAAAACCAGCTCTTGACAGAGTCTTTTTAATATGTTACTACTTCTGAAAAACCTGCTTATAAATCAGCCCCACCTATCTGCTTGGTTCTGATACAAGCTGCTTAGGTGGGAAGGATAAGCAGCAGGTTAGAAAAATGTAGATTTTTTTTTTTTAGTTATACATGAACTTGTATATATCGGTGATGGTGAAACCGCAGGTCACAGATCACACAAAATACTTGTAAGCAAAAAGTTAAAGCAGTATTAACTGGGCACGGTGGCCCACGCCTGTAATGTCCCGGCACGCTGGGAGGCTGAGGTGGGGGGATCACGAGGTCTGGAGACCAAGACCAGCCTGGCCAACATGGCGAAACCCCATCTCTACTAAAAATAGAAAAATTAGCTGGGTGAGGTGGCGTGCGCCTGTAATCCCAGCTACTCGGGAGGCTGAGGCAGGAGAATCACTTGAACCCAGGAGGTGAAGACTGCAGTGAGCTGAGATTGCACCACTGCACTCCAGCCTGGCGACAGAGCGAGACTCTGTCTCAAGAAAAAAAAAAAAAAAGGAAATCTGACTTCCTTGTACTGCTTTCCTTGAAGAAAGGCCAGGTTACCCATACCTACCAGCTACCTGGGCCAAGGGCAAAGGCAAACACTCGGCCAAAAATGTAGACAATGCCAAGTGCCTCCCAAAGTGTTGGGATTACAGGTGTGAACCACTGTGCCCGGCGGAAGTCAGATTTCCAAGTATGAAGAAAAAACAGGCCAAGTCAGATTCCTTTCATTTTTACTCCTTGAGAACTGCACTGGAGTTCATGGCTTAAGCTCCAGGTCCTGCACGACGGGAGAGCATGGCTATAGTGACTACATGCCTTGCCACTTCCATGTGCTGCACAGAGACCGTTTTTCACACAGAAGGTACTTTACTAACAATCCTTCACGTGGACAGAACGCAGCTTGTCAGGCGCTCTGTGAGTGAGTACAACTTACATTGTACTCACCCCCTTTCCTCTTCCAGATCCAGGCCTGGTGGCGAGGCACTATGATACGGAAGGAAATTGGTGGTTTCAGGATGCCTAAAGACAAAGTTGACAGCAAGGATTCAAAAGGAAAAGGCAAAGGCAAGGGGAGGAAGAGAGGCAAGAAGTGACCACGTTGTCTTCTGTCTTTTCCTCTGGTCTCTGGAGGTGGGAAGGGCGTGGAGAGAGTAAGAAGCACCTTGTACCATCACAGGTGACTCATCTACAGGTTGTTTCCCAGGCGAAGCCTGCTGATTTCACTCTCTGATTTAGGATTGTACCATTGACTTAGGGCTTTCTCATACCTTGCTGTAAAGAAGTTTCTGGTAGTCCTGTGAAGATTCATTCTTCTTGCTCTTTCACAGCAGAACCAAGCAGTTCATTGTCTTAGTAACAGCAATGCATTAAAACTTCAGTAATTCCTGTAATGTCTGATTCCGCTTTTACCCAACTGTCTGTAGTGAAAAAACTCTGATGAGCAAAAGCATTCAGTAGGAATTAGAAGATGATGTTTATTAGCTGTCCCGCATAACACAGACACAGCGAAGTTTTAGTAAATGTTGGTTCCTGCCTGCCTTTGACATTTATCTTCACGTTGTTTTTATTGGGGTGAAAACGGCATGGAATACATATCCAATTATAAGCTGCTTCCACAACTTTTCTGGGAAATAGGTAGGGATACAAATTATAAATACAAGCTAGAAATAGGATGTTAGGATATAAAACTTTACAAACTGTAAAGATGAGGACATAGGTTCTCTGGAAGGGTAGTCTGGAGATATTTGTGACAAGTGAAACACTCAGGCCAATACCTGCTTTGCTTACTCAACAATTCCCACTTGATGGAGTGTTAAGATGAAAATAGACAAGGCGTGTAAAAATATCTAACCTGTGCCTGGCACATAGGAGAGCTGACTGTCATTCTCCCTTTTCCTCTAGAAAAAAAAATGAGCCCACCAGGTCATTCTTGCCTTGATTAGTCAAAACAGAATATCTTGGGATGCTAAGGTTTCCCTATAGCATTCCTAGAGAAAAGCTGCCCTAATGTGTCACATACATTTCATGAATTAAGCTTCTATCTCACTCACTCCAAATAAAGCAGTCTTTTTTTTTTTTTTGAGATGGAGTTTCACTCGTTGCCCAGGCTAGAGTGCAAAGGCACAATGTCAGCTCACTGCAACCTCTGCCTCCCAGATTCAAGTGACTCTCCTGCCTCAGCCTCCCGAGTATCTGGGATTACAGGCATGTGCCACCACGCACAGCTAGTTTTGTATTTTTAGTAGTAGAGACGGGGTTTCTCCTTATTGGTCAGGCTGGTCTGGAACTCCCGACCTCGGGTGATCCACCCGCCTCGGCCTCCCAAAGTGCTGCGATTATAGGCATGAGCTACCGCGCCCGGCCTAAAGCACCACCTTGATATCTGTACTTCATTAAGAAAATCAATTTTAACTCAAAAGACTATCCTGAAGCCCCTGTTTCTACTGACATTCCTTCTGGAAATGACACGCCCTTTCCTTGATTCACCTCTGCCAAGGGAACCATATTTCAGGTATGAACATTCTCCAATCAGCTGTTATTACACTCCACTGAAGTGTTGGCTTTTATTTTAATATCAACATATAAAGTGGCATACAGGCAATTTAAAATAACACATGATATTGACATATTTATACTTAGAACTTATGCAATATATTTACAGACATACAAATACAGGACAATGTTTTTGTTACAAAACCTTTCACTAATTACATGTTTACAACATTTTCAGAAATAAAATGAAACTTGCTGTAAACCATCTCACTGCACTGTGTATATAGAAATGCTTCTAAATATCTATGTTTTCCTTCATTTCTATAACCATTTAAGCGCGTAGTTTCTACAAATTCATCAAACTCATCAGCAGAGTCACACATCATTAGTCACTGCCGAGCTGTAGAAAGAAATATCGCAAACTCCTCGATTAGCTGTATTTTAAATAGCTCTTAAGGAAGGTAGTCTACTACTAAGACCTTCCTGCTCTGTGTTCTAGAGGAATACAAAGGCCCTCTTCCCATGGTTGTTTCCAGACCTGGCCATTACAAGAGAACAATGGAGTGTAAAACATAGACTGTGAGTCTGAAATCCTGGAAACTGCTGACAGAAAACCTGTCAGTGGCAAGGACTCTGCTGGGTGGACTCTCAGCCTGTTGACACTGTCAGTGCTGGGAAGGTCACTGCTTCAGGTCAGCGGAACTGTGACAAGGTCATCTTCATCTTATGCTGGAGTCAAGCAAAGCTAAAGGTTAAACTGAATTGTGCTTTCCAATTTTTTTTTTAAAAGGTACATACAAAATACTGAATACAAAAATTATCCCAACAAAAGCATCGTGATTTGTTTTTGCGTCTTGATACAAAAGAAATTCATACCTCTGCAGAGGGTTTGAAAGAAAAAAGAGAACATCAATGTATTTGATATTTTTCCTTCAATTACCAGCCAAAACTGCAGTTTTTCCTAACAATTCGAATACAAATCTGATTTACTTTGATAAAAATACATTAAGAATGTTTCATAATATGTGCAAAATTTGAAGTAAGTTGAAATTTCCATTTACTCCTAAGGGAAAATAAGTTGCAAATGTTGCAAGTACTGTATTATATAATGTCTTCTAGAATTATTCCTTGCATAATATGGTGTGTTTTTTTTTTTTTTTTTTTTTTTTTAAGATGCAGTCTTGCTCTGTTGCCCAGGCTGGAGTGCAGTGGCATGATCTCAGCTCACTGCAACTTTCGCCTCCCAAGTTGAGGTGATTCTCGTGCCTCAGTTGCCCGAGTAGTTAGGATTACAGGTGCCTGCTACCATGCCCAGCTAATTTTTTAATTTTTAATAGAGACAGGTTTTCACCATGTTGGCCAGGCTGGCTTGCATAATATGTTAAAAACAATCCTGTCCTTTGCTGAGTGTCATTTCATGTAATTTGGAGACTGTAGTGAGGCTTAGTGTTGACTAGTACAGTTTAAAAATACATATGGCTATATTCTAAACAAATTATATAAGGGTTGATGGGTCTGCTGGGAACTGTAAATATAATGGGGTCTGGCTCTAAGTGTTTAGACATTTTTACTTTTGTTCTATAAGATAGGGTATTGAGCGCAGATGTTTAATGTTATACAATTTATTTTTAGAGATGGGGTCTCACTCTGTTGCTCAGGCTGGAGTGCAATGGTGCAATCATGGCTCACTGTAGCCTTGACCTCCCAGGCTCAAGTGAGCCTCCCACCCCAGCCTCCTAAGTAGCTGGGAGTACAGGCATGTGCCACCACAGCTGGATTTTTTTTAATTTTTGGGAGACAGGGTTTTGCTGTGTTGCCCAGGCTGCTCTCAAACTCCTGGGCTCAACTGATCCTCCTGCTGAGCCTCGCAAAATGCTGGGATTACAGGCATGACCCACCGGGCCCAACCTGTTATACAACTTTAAACCTGGTCAAAGAGGTAATGTTCTGCTGAACTTGTTTCTCTGCAAGAACAAGGAAGAAAATATTACTTTAACCAGATACTCATGCAAAGCTACTTTTAAATGGTCATTTACATGATAAAAAGAGGGATGACATTATGCCCAAATGCATGCATTGGGAAAGAAAATCCAGAACAGTTAACAACTACAGAAAAAAAAAAATAGATAACTAATATCTTCCACTTAATTTACTTGTTTTACAAAGGCAGTTAGCACCAAAAGGTATCACCAACTAAATGGGGTTCAAATGCAGGGGAAGGAAAACCCAAGTAGGTGAAACATGAAGAAAGGCTCCTGATTGTGTGTGTGAGCCCCTGAGCTCTTTCCTCCACCCATAACTGAGTATATGAAGGCACTAGTGGTGAAGCCACATGGGGAACGGGAGGAAGCTGTTTTTAAGATGCCGTAAGTGCTTTAATTAAGCCACAAAAACTGGCAGTTCCCTGCAGGAAATATAAAAAACTTGCCTCTTCCAAGCTAGAAGTGTACGTGCTGCAATGTGTCTGCAGGCCCAGGTGTCGAGGAGCAGCATGAGGAGGGCAGTGGGGAGGCTGAGAGATCAATGCAGATGACACCAAGCAGTGCGCTCTCAGCTTAAGAATCTGGAACCCGTGTAAAAGGGCTTCTTTATAATGTCTAGGTAACAGGATGACATAGGACCACCCTCTGTGATGGACTGGACGTGAAGGGAGGCCTAGAACACTGACCTTAAATACAACCGTATCTGTTTCACTGTTTCACTATGCAAAATTTGGACCAGGCCCAGTAGGTCACTCCAGTAATCCCAGCACTTTGGGAGGCTGAGGCAGGAGGATCACTTGAGCCTAGGAGTTTCAGGCTAGCCTGGGCAATACGGCAAGACCCCCAACTCTTTAAAAAAAAAAAGAAAATACTATGCAAAATCTAGGCCTTCTATATTATTTTTCCTTTGCCTCTGACAGAATAGTCTAACTCACTGTCATACAGCGTTTCATTTTAAATGTGGCTAAAAAATGCAGTGGGGGAATTGCCCTTCTCCCCAAACATACAAAATCTAGCTTTGAGCAGTGGTTTCCCCTACATAAAAAACACGTGCAATGGGCCGGGCGTGGTGGCTCACATCTGTAATCCCAGCATTTTGGGAGGCCGAGGCGGATAAATCATTTGAGGTCAGGAGTTTGAGACCAGCCTGGCAAACATGGTGAAACCCCGTCTCTACTAAAAATACAAAAAAATCAGGCAGGTGTGGTGGCATGTGCCTGTAGTCCCAGCTACTTGGAAGGCTGAGGGAAGAGAATTGCTTGAACCTGAGAGGCAGAGGTTACAGTGAGCCGAGATCAGGCAACTGCACTCCAGCCTGGGTGACAGAGCAGGACTGCTTCTCAAAACAAAAGGACAGTGGTTATTAAAAATGCAGATTCCTAGGGCTTACCCCAGATCTACTGAATGTAACAAATACTCTAGGAGATTCTAATGAACAACGGAGTTTAGAAAACAGCAGAATAGCTGTCTGGAGAGCAGGTAAAAACAACAGCAGAGCACGCTTGTGCCTAACTCGGTATGTGAAATAAGCCTGCTCTCTCAGAAAGCACAGTCAGGTTAGGTGTTGGGTTTTCAGTAATGAGATAAGTTTCATTTACAAAGCCAACAGTGTCTTTGTAAAAAAAAAAAAAAAAAAAAAAAATTCAGTGGAAATGGATATAACCTCCCCTAAAATGGAGAAATGAAGCAAAATATTCCTGTTAGGAATCATGGAAACAGTCCCTTCTGAGAACACATTAAGAGCTTTGTTTAAGCAGACAGCTGGCAGCAGCAACCACGTGGTTCTGTTCCTTGTTTTGACCAGGCCAGTGCCCAAGGTCCTGCGAATCCTTAAACAGCAGATAACTGGTGCTGCTGTTGCTTGGGTGGGGCAAGTTCCAGGAGAGCCTGGACCGTCACTGCAACCTGGCTCAAACCTTTCTCTTCTAAAATGTGGAGAGGCA